GGCTATGCCCAACTGGGCAGTTCTTCTCTAGTATTCAGAAGCAAGGGGATGAATGGGAACCGGTGCCAAGGTGTCCAGATGTTCCGCCCTTGGCGGGACAGCCGCTATTCTTAACACACTGTCCCTTGTCCCCTGGCGTTTTAAAAAAAGCCCCTCTTCTGGGGGGGATTACTTCAAACCCAGCACTAGGTGTCGCTGTAGCCTTCTCTGGGCTCCGCTCCGCCTCCGCGGGCTGTAGTTCGCGCACCCGTCTACAGTGGAGGCAGGGCTGGAGCTCCCCGGCTACCGTAGCAGAGGCGGGCCGGAGCTCCCCGGCTGCCGTAGTGGAGGCGGGGCCGGAGCTCGCCGCCGCGGAACCCAGATCCCTTAGGCTATCCCCGCAAACTCTGACCTTTCCGTGGGTGACTGAAGATCTCCCCGGAATCCACGTGTCTGCGCAGCTCTGGGAGTCTCAGCTGCTCGATGGACCTCCGGGCTGTGCGTTTTCCAAGCCTCAGAGAAGCTCTTTCCTTCCTGGCAAGACAATGCAGCCCTTCCTCCACGCCCGCAGCCCACCGCACGCTGCCTCCGCTGCCCCCGCCGCTGCTGCTGCTGCCGCTGCTGCTGCTGCTGCTGCTGCTGCTGCTGCTGCTGCTGCTGCCGCGGCCGTGCTGGCCACTTGGTCAGGAAATCCTGTCCAGCGGACTCTCCCTTACCCTCCTTGAGAGCTCCGCTGTCCCTTAGCTGCCAATCAACTCTCCCTGAGCGACTCAGAAGCCCCCTTTATCCGTTCTGGGACCAGAGTCAGAATAGGTCCGACTGTTCGGTCGCCATCTTCAAGCTCCGCCCCCACAAGGTGTTAGCTTTAAAACCTCTTTTTGGCAAGAGACCTTAAACTTTTAGAACTTTAAATTTTTCAGATAGTAAATCAGTTACTTAGCATTTTCTCAAATCAATAATACCTCCACATGCCCAAGGATACACTTCACACAAAAGACATTTCCAAATAGATCAACCAACCTCATCCAGACCAAACACAAGGCACTCACAGATCAACACCCCAGCGCTATACTAACTCAACACATCCAGATCTAAGCCTTCATCACTTGATTCAGCAGACCCTAAAGTTCTCCCAAAAGTTTCCAGCCATGTCTGAGAGGCAGCCCTGGGGCATGGGCAGGCGAGGAGCGAGCTGTTCTGGGCCTGACTGCTCCGGGCCTGGCCTCTGTTGCCCTGGTCTGCTCCACAACCTGCTGCTCCGGGTCTGGCCACTGCCGCTCCCAGCCTGGCTGCTGCTGCTCCAGGCCTGGCTGCTCCCAACCCGGCTGCTCTGGGCCCACTGCTCCCGACCCAGCTGTTCTGGACCCGGCCGCTCCGGGCCTGGCCACTCCCGGCTTGGCTGCTGCTGCTCTGGGCCTGGCTGCTCCCAACCCTGCTCTGGGCCCAGCTGCTCCGGATTCGGCCGCTCCGGGCCTGGCCGCTCCTGGCCTAGATGCTCCGGGCTTAGCTGCTGCTGTTCTGGGCCTAGCTGCTCCCGACCCGGCTGGTCTGGGCCCGGCCGCTCTGGGCCTGGCCACCCTGGGCTTGGCCACCTCCGCCCCAGGTCTGGCTGCCACTGCCCCAGGTCTGGCTGCTCCGGGCATGGCTGCTGCTGCTCTGGTTCTGGCTGCTGCTGCTCTGGGCCCGACTGCCACTGCCTTGTGCCTGGCCACTCTGGGCCTGGCCGCCGCCCTCCAACATTCTGTCCTTTTTTTTTTTTTTTTTTTTTTTTTTTTTCCTAAACACATTTATGTTGCAATGTTGGCTGCTGAGTTGAGTTCTGTCTTAGTCTTCGATTTTTTAAAAAATCTTTTTATTCTTTCTTAAGTAATTTTACTATCTTTTGCTCTCACTTGATTTCTTCACATTGAAAACTTCTCGGTTTCTTCCTCCTCTTCCTGGAAGCTCAGCAGGTTGGCCTGTGGCACCCCTTTGTGCTCCGCAGCCTCCTGCGCTGCTTCAGCCTGTTGCCGGGGTCAGCGCCATCCAGGAAGCAGCCCCCGGCCTCGGCTCCGTGGCCCTCGATCAGCGGTTGAGGGCCCAGCAGCACCTCCCCTCAGGGGCCCCATCGCCCGGCTTCTTGCCGGCGCCCGGCTGACCGGTGTCTGGCAGCGGTTCCTGCTCTTCATCGCGTTCCTCCCAGTCTGGAGCTTTTTTCTCCTTCCCGCTCGGGGAGTCTAGCATCAAAGTCAACAGATTGTCCTCTGCACATGTGTGCGCCTCCGGGGGCTCTGCCCCTCTCCGCTCCCCTGGGACTCCGCCTCACAGCCCCGTCTCCCTCTGTTTGAGCCTGGGTCCCCTGGCCTAGAACTGGGGTTCAGAGCAGTCGGAACTGGGGCCCAGCACGGCCGGAGCTCTTGTTTCCTTCCCGCCAGGGCATTCTAGCATCAGAGTCAACATTCCTTCCTTTGTGCACAATGTGCGCGACTCCAGGAGCTCTGCCTTTCGCCACTTCCCCGGGATTCCACCTCAGCCCTGTCTCCCTCTACTTGAGCCTGGGTCCCCAGGGATTGGCCTAGAACTGGGGTTCAGAGCAGTTGGAACTGGGGCTCAGCACAGCCGGATCTTTTGTTTCCTTCCTGCTAGGGCAATCCAGCATCAGAGTCAACATTCCGTCCTCTGCGTGCAATGTGCGCGACTCCGGGGCTCCGCTTTTCACCGCTCCCCTGAGATTCCGTTTCACAGCCTCGTCTCCCCCTGCCTGAGCCTGGGTCCCCAGAACTGGGGCTCAGCGCTGCCAGTTCTGGGGTTCAGCCCAGTCCGGGGCTTTTATTTCCTTCCTGCTAGGGAACGCCAGGCAGGCACCCAGCCTTCTCCTCCTCTCCGGCTCCGTCCTCTTTGCGCTTGCGCATGTGCGCAGCATGTCTTCATACCTTTATCTTTTTCAGCTCCTCTGATTTTCCTTCTGGTTTTCTCTTTCCTTCTTGTTGTAGAATTTTCAGTCAGTCGACTACCTGTAGCTCTGGGCAATGTCTATTTTATATTTTAGTTGTATTCCATTGAAATTGTTGTGTGCGGCTGCGGTTAGGTGTTTACCTGTGCAGCCATCTTGGATCCTGTCCGGAGCGAGAATATCAAGAAAGTGGGTGTTTCAAAAAAGGGGGACATAGTATGAGGTCTCCTCTTGATGATAAACATGTCCTGTAGGCTTATTGTATCGATGTTGCTATCCTGGCTGTCAAATTGCACCAGAAGTTTGCAAAATATCACCATTGGGGAACCTGGTTAAGTGATTTCTGGGTTCTCTGTATCATTTCTTTTAACTGCATGTGATTCCACAATGATCTCATAATAAAAGCTTAATTGAAAAAGTATGTAATAAAATATGATGTGACTGTTTAAAATGCAGTACATTTAAAAAATATATTTTTTATTGATTTTTTTACAGAGAGGAAGGGAGAGGGATAGAGAGCAAGAAACATCGAGGAGAGAGAAACATCAACCAGCTGCCTTCTGCACATTCCCCTTGGGGATGTGCCTGCAACCACAGTACATGCCCTTGACCAGAATCGAACCTGGGACCTTTCAGTCCGCAGGCTGACGCTCTATCCACTGAGCCAAACCAGTTTTGGCAAATGCAGTACATTTTATTTGATCTTTAGAAACAACCTGCTGACAAAATACTTTAAATGGAGGGAACTTGGATTTGAATGGATTTACCAGGCAGGGCTCAGCCGGAAAGAGGGCCACTCCTAGGAGAGACAAGGAGAGGAGGGGAGGGGAGGGGAGGGGAGGGGAGGGGAGAGGAGGAGAGAGTCAGGGAGGAGTGGTGAGGATGTAGCATTGCACGTGCCATAGGATGTCACCAGGGCGAGTCCTAAGCTGTTTCTAAGTGAGTCCTAAGTCAGTAGCTGTTTCACAAGAAGCACTGGTAGCAGGTACCAAGGCAGCACGCACAAGGAGAGCTGGGCTTCCAAGGAGGCAAGACCAACCCAGCAGAGCCCAGGAGAGCGGAGCCTCTGTACGGCCCCAGCAAGCGTCTCCGGTGTGAGAGTCCGAGCTCTGCTCCACGTGCAGAACTTGATCTCTAGAGCAGGCCATCCCAGCACACAGCACAGACGAGGCCACCAAAGAAGTGCATCCTCCAAAGACAAGGATGTAAGTGTCACCTGGTCCCCACATAAGAGCCAGGCTTTCTGCGGACGTGGTGAGCTGGGGCTGGGCGAGCATGTGAGGGAGGGAAAGGAGCGGCTCAGGCACAGGTGCCTCTGAACAGGAATGGCCAGGGTGCAGGATAGCACAGAGCTCCGACAGGCCCTGGGCACCGGGGACTGCCCTGAAGGAGCACTGGTGCGGACAGACCATTCCTGACAGCAAGCAGAGCTGGAGCTGGTGGAAGTCAAACAAGGTGGCACACACACTTCCCAAACAGGATTCCTCTCCTGGGCAGCAGGATCGGGGTGGGGAAAAGCCACCGTGGCTCAGGCACCTTCAGCAGCTTCTGTAACACCTTCCCCAGCTCCGAGCCCACCCTCCAATCCCTCCGGGTGGCCTGGCTGGTCACTCACCAGGCTCCTCCTGCCTCAGACCAAGAAAGGGCTGTGGTGGCCTTTATGGAGGCCCTGATGGAGGGCCAGAGGCAGGAAGTTCGCCATGGGAACCGTTTGGTCTGTGCGCCTTGGAGCTCAGGGTTCCCATGGAGGTGCCTCAGAGCTGGCAGGTGGGCTGAGGGGACCAGTGTGCCAGGCTGCGTGGGATGCGGGGGCTGTTGGGGGGGCTCTCTGTTTGTAAGCTGGTTACCTCTAGTGAGGCTGCCCTGACAGGCTCTTCCAATCCACGAACCAGGAAGGGCAGTTCTGCTAAACGGACGGTTCCCCAAACCCCAGGAGATGCAGGGCCCTCCCCACTCCCCCAAAACAAAACAGTGAAAAAGATGGTGCCTCGAGCGGTTCAGGTTTTATTGGTGTGTCTGTGCATACACTGCGTGCGGAGGCCAGGCCAGGGTGTGATCCCCCTCCCCCATAGACTGCCAGACGGAGCACTCAGCACACGTGGGCCAGGTTGTGCTTCTTGTACAGCAGCGCCCGCCTCTTCTCCCGCTCCCGCACGAAGGCGCGCAGGCGGGCGGTGGGGAAGGTCACGGCGGAGGGCTGGGAGCAGGCGGGGCCCTCCTCCGTCAGCCACGCGCACTGCAGGCAGCTGGACGCGCTCGGCCGGCCCCTGGAGCGTGGAGAGCGGCGGTGGGTGTCAGCCCGCTCTGGCGGGTGCAGGGCACAGGGGGACGGGCAGGACGGGCAGCGGGGGTGGCAGGGTGGGGGTTGGGGGCCAGGGCCGCCTTACCAGGGGTGCGCGCACAGGGTGCTCTGCAGGAAGGCCACGGCCCCCCCGGACAACCCCGCGTAGCAGCGGCTCAGCGAGACCAGCCCCTTGCGCAGGCCTTTGTGCAGGCCCCGCGGGCCCTCGCTGCTCACCGGGTACTCAGCGCTCAGCCTGCGGGGGAGGGAGACGGGACTCAGGTCACCAGGGGGTCTGAGGTCATCCTCCTGGATCCCACGCCAGTCTCCCCGCCCCCCTCCTCCCCACGCCCGTCATGCAGCACTCACATTATGAACGCCGTCACACCGATGGCCCAGATGTCCGTCTGCGGGACGGCGCCCTGGCCCTCCAGGAGCTCCGGGGCTGGGAAAGCGGGGGCACAGGTGAGGCCTGGAGGCAGGCCTGCGGCGGGGGGGGGGGGGGGGGGGGAGAGAACAACGGCTCCTGGCCCACCCCCTACCCACTCACCCATAGTCTCCACGTAGTCTCTGAACCTCTCCGAGGGCAGGACCTGCTCCTGGGCAAGGCTCTGGGCGTTGCCCAAGTCCACCACCTTGAGCAGGTTGTACTCCGTGACGATCATGTTCTCGGACCTGAGGTCCAGGTGCAGGATGCGCTGCGCATGCAGGTACTGGGCGGCGCTCAGCATCTGCCACAGGTAGTCCTTCACCTCGGACTCCGAATAGGAGGCCCTGGGGGCACAGGGCAGGGCTCAGCTCCGTGGGTTTCCGCCCAGCCGCTTCCCGGTAGAGGCGGAGGCCAGCCGGGAAGTGAGCTTGGGCCTGTGCTCCTCCTCCCCCAGCCCCACATCCAGGCCAGGTGGCCCCTCACCGCTCGGCCAGGCAGGGGAGCAGCTCCGGCCCTGAGCACAGCTCCAGGATGAGGACCAGGTGCCGGGGGCTGATGTAGGCAGCGTGTAGCTGGGCCAAGTGCGGGTTGCGCAGGCCCTTGAGGGCCTCGTACTCGCTCAGCACGGCCATCCTGTCCTCCGGGCGGTAGGGGATGATCTTGGCGGCCAGCTCCCGGCCGCTGGCCTTCTCCCGGCACTGCCGCACCACGCTGAAGCGGCCCCTGGCGAGGAGGCACAGGCCAGGCTACTGAGGACCCCTCCTTCCCCTCACGTGCCCTCCTGCAGCCCCTGCCCACTCTCAGAGCTGCAGGAGGAAGCCCAGCAGGGAAGGAGGGGGTGCAGAAGCTGGAGCGGATGGGGAGCTGCCGCACCTTCGGATCTGTGTTTGGAAGGCCAAGGTCTGGGTGCTGGGGAGCGGCTGGGCAGGCGGCGCAGGGCGGCTCTCCTCTGAGGCTGTGGGAAGAGAAGGCGTGACTCCCCCTGGCCCCAGCTCCCCAGCCTTGTCTCCTCACACCCCTTCCCTGGCACCCTTAAACCCACACTTGGCCTCTCGTTCTTTGGACCATTTGGGGAGGGAGGAGGGGCAGCCAGAACAAACCTCCCCTGTGCATTTTGGTGAAGTGGCAGAGGGACCGCCACCCGACACCCACCAGGTCCGGCAGAGGCTCACCCAGGTGCCTGGGCCCTCCCAGGTGGACCTGCTCAGAGGGGCTGCTGTAGGGGCCCATGCCGGCCTTGCTGACACACGCGGTCCGGAAGGTGTACATGCCGCCTCTGGAGAGCTTGCTGGCCAGGTAGCAGCAGTCAAAGATGTCCGAGGCCAGCGTGCTCCAGCTGCCACCTGGCACACAGAGCGGGGGAGGGGCAGCTCTGGGTGGGACGGCACCCTGGCCCAGGTGGAGAGACCCCTCCCCGAGGAAGGCTGCCCAGGAGTGCAGAGGGGGCCAGAACTTCCCCCCTGGGTGCCCAGAAGCACAGAGTGGCCTGGTACTTCCCGCACGCCCTCCCCCCACTAACCACAGGGCCCCCCAGGAGTCCACGGCGCAGGCACAGCCCTACCTTCCAGGCTGCACTGCACGATATAGGTCACGGGGCCATAGGACTCCACGGGCTTCCAGACCAGCAAGACCCCATCAGTATACACCTCCCCGATGTCTGGGCGCGGGGAGGACGAGGGGCGCTCTGCGGGGCCCACAGTCAGGGGTCTGAGGTGGGGTTCCGGGGCGGCCCAAGCAGCTCTGAGCCCCTGTCCCGCCCCTGCATCCCCCTGTCAGGCCCGGAGCCCACCCTCCCCTGGTCCCACAGATTCCGGGGTCCCGTTCCTGTGCTGCCTGGCAGAGGGCCGGTGCCTCTCCTGCTGGAGGCTCCGGAGGAGCCTGCCTGCCTGACCACAGGGCTCCTCCATCGAGTGTACGTCCAGGAGCCCATGGAGTGGCCCTCACTCGCAGGCCCCTGCCCACCCCCAGCTCTGGTGAGAGATGCCTCCGCTTGGCTGAGCGGTAGAGCAGGGTGCCTGATCCCCTCTAGGGACCAGTGGGGTCTAAGAGCTAGGCCTGCCTGCCCCATTGGAAACTCCAGGAGGAGATGACAGCCTGAGGGGCTCCGCTCCCGGTCCCCCCTGAGGTGGCCTGGCGAGGCCCACCCACCGGCCCTCCGGAGGACAGCTGTGGTGGTCGCCATGCCCAGGGCGTTGTGCACGCTGCATGTGTACACGCCCAGGTCCTCAGAGGTCACCACCAGGATGGTCAGAAGGTGGAAGTTCTTCAGTGTGGAGGAGATGAGGAGGCGGCTGCTGCTTTCCAGGACGACCCCGTCTGCATGGGGACAAAGCAAGCGGGGGGGCGGGGGGCGCTCAAAACACCCAGCCCTCACCCTACTTGGGCCTCTGCTTCCCTCTGTAAGTTGATGGCCATGAAGTCAAGGAATGCCCCCTGCTGTCCTGCCACCTGCCGGCCTCCCCGACACCAGGCCTCCCCCTAACACCAGGATGGCTCGTACCTTTAGTCCAGGTGGCTTGGGCAGCTGGCTGGGCCGACACTTGGCAGGCAAGGGTCACAGACTGGCCCAGGACCACCGTCTCATCTGCAAGCTCCCTTTGGAAGGTCGGCGCTGGAGAAGGGAGGCGGACCAAGTGTCAGAGGTGATCCCGGCCAGAACGTAAAACCCGAGGCGGGATGCTAGAGAGAAGCTGCCCTCACCCAGTTCATCTTCAACACTAGCCCCTCCTCCAGGCAGTGCTCAGTCCCGACCGCGAGCACCCCATCTGGGCACAGTCCCTATGGGTTTTAGCTTGCCCCCTACTGGCCTGGGCACAGTGGTCTCCTGGGCAGCAGGGGGCGCCCGTCCCAGGAAGCACACTCACCTTGGTCTCTGCTCTTCAGACCCGACAGCCGGAAGGAAACAAGGCCTGCCTTTTTCCTAGGGGGACCCTCCTTCTCTGGACCTGCATGGAGGACAGGACCAAGGGAGGTCACACCAAGAGGCTGGCCCCTTTGGGCAGCCAGCAGCCATCAGGAGCACGGGAGGAGGAGTCTGGGGCTGCCTACCACCCACTGCCAGATTCCACCCCCTCCCTAGCATCTGTCCATTCTGGGTGGGAGGACCCCTGGCAAGGAAGGCCAGCAGCTCAGGGGCGCGGGTGCCCGGAAGTCCTGGCTGAGATCTGGGGTTGGGTGGGGCCGGTGAGGGTCAGGGGTCAGGAAGATGGCCCTGGAAGGACCTTCTCCACGGGGGTGTAACCCCTGCAGTTGCTCCAGGCCCCAGCACTAGGTCTCAGAGGCACATGGAGGGGGTGAAGCCAAGAAGGTGGCCTTGGGAACAGAAGCCCGTGTGCATGGGGTGTGGGCAGCACAGGCACAGGAAGGGGTAGGGAGGGCTCCTGAGCTGTGTGATTCCTGGGCATGTGTGCCAGGTGCCCCAAGGCACAGAGAGGGCACACCTGGCCGCAGAAGCCTCCATGATGGGGAGGGGGAGTCACCTTGAGGCCTGCCCCTCAGGAGGCTGGAGATATGGGCCACCGAGGCCCTCACCCTCTGACGCAGCCCCAGTTCCACCGGCTCTTCCAGCAGGGCGCGCCTCCCCGGGACGCTCCGGGGGCCACCGGAGGGGGGTGACCACTTGCGCTTCCTGCTGCCGTCTGCCTCCCGGAGCAGGGCCGAGCTGTCCTCCGGCTCCTCCCTGATCTGCAGGCCCAGCCCGCCCTGCCAGGACCATGGGGCCTCCGGGAGCCCAGCCAGCTCCTCCTCGGGCTCCCACACTGGGGACGGGGGCAGCTCCCGCCTGGGCATTTTCCGGAAGAGCATGAACTCAAAGGGAAGGTACTTGATGTCGTACAGGTGTGACAGGTTGAGGTAGGCAGGCTCCACCTCTGATATATCCAGAGACATGGTGTCCGCTGCCTCCATGTCCCCTGACAGGGACAGGGACAGGTCCTGGATCTGCACCAGCGACACCTGGGACCCTCTGGCCCCGCTGCCCTCGGGCAGGGGCACCGCGCTGGCTTGGGGGAGGGGGCTCTCGGCCCCTGTTTCGTCCTGTTCCTCCAGGGACTGAGAGGCGGCCCAGGTCATCCGGGCCCACAGGGGTCCCTGCCCCAGCATGCCGCCTGCGTCCCCACCGAAGGCGAAGGCCCCGTAGCCCGCCAGCCCAGCAAAGCCTCCAGGCTGCCCCAGGGAGAACTTGCGCGAGGTGGCCTGCTCCTGAGGCTGCGGGGAGCTGGGCTCGGACTCCCACAGGTCCTCGGTGTCCAGGCCAGAGGGGGAGGCTGGCCCCGGAGAGCTGGGCAGCCCGGGCCCCCCAGGGAACAGGGTGGCCTCCAGCCCGCTCTTCGGGCCTGCCTGGAGGCCTGCCTGCGCTGGGGAGGAGGGAGCCTGCAGTCCCCCGGAGAGGGAGGTGCCCGGGGTTGCCAAGGGAGCTTGGGGTGCGACAGCCTCAGGGGCACCAGAACCCTTCCCGGTGGCAGGGCCCGCCTGGGGGTGAGAAAAAGGAGCTGGCTGCCCCCCACAGCTGTCCTGGGAGGACCTCTCTTGCTCAGCAAGGCGCGGATCTCCGCCAGGAGATGGAAATGGTCTCTGCCCTTCCACCTGTCTGGCCACGCTCTGCCCTCCTGTTTCAGCCTGGAGGCCCCAGAGGGTGGGTGAGAGACCCTGCCCCTCCTGGCAGGCCTCTCCGGAGGGCCCGGCCCCGCGGGGACAATCGGAGCCCAGGGAATGGCCGCGGCAGGGGCCTCCGGAGGCCTCGGGGGACCTCTCTGAGGAGGGTGCCGAGGCCGCAGGAGCAGCCCCCTCCTCCCGGGCGGCCGCCTCCTCCAGCGCGCGGTGCTCCAGCAGCGGCTCCCGCAGGCCGGGCGCGGCGCCCGCGAAGTAGCCGCCCTTGAGCAGGTGCCTCCGCCGCGCGGGCACCCGCCTGCCCGTGGCTGTGGCCGTGACCGTGGCGGCGGCCGGGGCCCCGCGCGGCGGGCTCTGCTCGGCCTGCTGGTAGAACAGGCTGCGGATGACGCTCTGCCGGGGCACGCAGCCCGGGGCGGGGGCGGCGGCGGGCTCTGCGCCCCCGGGCGGCGCGGGCTCCCGGGGAGCGCAGGCCTCCGCCTCCTCGGGCAGGCTGGCCGACGGCCGCAGGAACCCCCGCGGGTGCACCAGCGGCGAGTGCGTCACCGGGGACGGCGGCAGCGACTTGGCGCGGGCGAAGGGCGCCAGCTCGTTGTCGGAGGACGAGGAGCTGCTGGAGGAGGCGGCCTCGCCGCGCAGGTGCCGGGCCACCCCGAGCGACGGGCTGTCGGGCGGGCCTCGGAGCAGCTCGGGGATGGAGCGCATCACCAGGATGGACTTGTAGCTCATCAGGGAGCGCTGGGGGCCGGGAGGGGGGCGTCAGCCAGGGCCCGCTGCCTCCCGCCTCCGGTGCCCCCAGAAGGCGGGAGCCAGGAGAGGGGGCGCTAAAAGCCCTTGTCCTCATTCCCTGCACCCCAGGACTCTGTGTCTGTGGCTCAGGGGACACAGATTCTGAAAGAAGGATGCCCAGCCCCGCCTCCCCACGTACAGCCAGCCTGGGGCCTTAGCCCCACCCACCTGCCTCCAGGCCCCGCCCCTCCCTGTCCGGCCCTCCTTCCTGCCCCACCCCTCAGCCATCCCGCAGCGCCGGCCCCAGGGCCCCTGGCGTCCCCCCATCACCACCAACTGCGCCGGCTCACCTGCCAGCGGCTGCGGGCCAAGAGGAACTTGAGCTGCTTGGTGTTGATGAAGTGGGCCTCCTCCGCCGGCAGGGACTTCTGGGGGGGCCCGGAGAGAAAGCACGCGTGTTGGGGGAGAACTTTGGTTCCCTAGAGCGTTAGGCCCCACCCCTCTTGGCCTTATTTTTCCTCCCTGTTCGCCAGGCCTGGTCAGATTCAGCCTACTCACCTGGAACCAGGGGTGGGTGAGGCACTGGGCTGCGCTGGGCCGGCTTCTGTGGGGAGACCAGGCTGGGTCAGGCCAGGGGCCGGCTGGTCCCTGGGACAGGGCATGGGGCAGGAGAGGAGGGCATGCACACTCACTCGGGGGCCCTCTGCAGGGCAGCCTTGATGAAGTCCTGGGCGTCCTGGCTGAGGTGAGCAGCCACGGGGCTGCTCCAGGACACCCGCCCCTCCAGCACGTTCAAGAGGGTCGCTCGGTCACTCTCGCCCGCAAATGGGGACGCGCAGGTCAAGCTGAAAGCACAGTGAGTGTCGGGCCCTCAGACGTGACCCCGGATCTCTGGGTCCCATGGGGTGAGTTGGCGGAGCCCTGACTGGGTTGGCGTCTTAGTTCCCTCCGAGTCCCAGCAAGTGTCTCAGACCTGCCCAGATATGCAGGCCGGGGCTGGAGTGGGGATCTGGGCTCAGCCTGGAAGAGAGCAAGGTTAGCCGGCGGCACCAGGCTCAGTCGGAGGAGGAGAGGGCTCCACCTGCAGCGGAGACCCAGGCTCCGTCTACACCAGCCGAGTCCTCGGCAGAAACTGCTATGGAGGCCCCTGGGCAAACCAGCCAGACCGGCTGAGGAAACAGCTCAGTGAGGTGCCTCACCACCCCACTGGGAAGAGCCCTCTGGGACGGGGGACGGTGAAAAGCCCCGGCAAACCCCTTATCCCAGTTCGCCACCGCCTGCTTCCCAACTAGCCGCCCCTTGGGTCTCAGGTCTCTGCTCTGGGGGAATGGGGGGAGAGGGGAGAGGAGGCAGCGGGGCCTGGGTCCTCCATGGGCCTTAGGGTGGGTCTGGGATTGCTTCGGAGGAGGTGGACACAGGTCTGCTCACCTGAGGTAGGAGATGACCCCCATAGCCCTGTGGGAACAAAACCACAGCGTGAGTCCCCCAGCCTGGCCCCGGGTCAGGGGCGAGAGGGGAATGGCAGTGGAGAGGCGGGAGGCAGAGGACGGGAGGATGGGCCATCATGGTGGCTTTGTCGGGGATGGGGGGGAGGGGGGAGCTCACCAGATGTCAGAGGCCTCGCTCACAGGCGTATGCTCGATGATCTCCGGGGACACAAACTCGGGGGACCCGTACATACTATACTGTGGCTCTGCCACGGTGATTTTTTGGGCAAAGCCGAAGTCGCAGATTTTAATGTCTTCCCGAGCAGGGTGCACCATCAGGATGTTGGGGGGCTGTTGGGTAGAGTCATGAGTGGGGAAGGCAGTGACCTACGGCAGTGACTCCTGGGGCTGCCAGGTCTGGGGCGGCGGGTTGTTAACCAGGGAGTCTGTGAGGAGCTGCCCCATGAGATGGAGAGGACAGTGGGGGCCGGGGCAGGTTTCAGTACCACGGGGACAGCCTCTGCTCTGTCAGAGCCACACCCCACCTGCAGGGGCTGCTGGTAAAGAGGGGAGCCCCCCATCCCCCAAAGTGAGTACATCCTGACAGGAAAACTGGAAGTGGGACCTGTGTCTTTCCAGCCTGCAGGCCCTGGCCCCCCTCTGCTCCTGCCAGGGCTCTGGGACACACGGTGGGGCACGTACCTTTATGTCCAGGTGGAGGACGCCGTGGCTGTGCAGGTAGTGCAAACCCTCCACCAGCTGCTGGATGTAGACCTTGACCTACAGTGGCAAAGGCCGTGGCTCTGGCGAGACAGTCAGCCTCGACCTCCCCCCACCCCTTCCGCTTTCCTCCCTACCCTGCGCCCATCTACCAGACCCCGTGAGCCTGGGCACGGGATTCCTCTGGGCCCTGGAGGCGGGGAGGGGTTGGATGTGTGAAGCCACCTGAGCAAACAGGAAGCTGCTGTTTCAGGGGAAGGCAAGGCTGGCCCGCTGGCCAGGTGCAGGCTGGGAAAGGGAAGTGGTGAGCCTTGGCTGGGAGGTCTTTGAGAGTTGACTGCGGAGCTGTGACACTTTGTGAGGCCCTGGAGACCCCAAAAGGTCTCTGAGCTGGGGCACTGTGCAAGAGGGGAGGCTGTGTCTGCGGGGGGGGGGGGGGGGAGGAGGGGGGCAGGAGGGTGGAGAGAAGGAAGGAGAGGAGTGGGAGGCCTGGCGGGTATGCGTGCAAGCCCATTGGCTGGGCAGATGGCTCCGCCGCAGTCACCTCAGCTTCTGTCACCACGCTCTTCTTGAACAGACGGTCCAGTAGTTCCTCTGATGAGCACCTGTGGCTCAGGTCAAGGAAAGCTCTGGGGCCTGGAACCCACCTGGCTCCACTCCCCATGGCAAGCCTTATCTTGGGGTGAAGTGGGGGGTCCATGTTGGGGAGGTGGGCCCTCTGGGCTGAGGAGAGGAGCTGAGGCCAGAGCCAGCAGCAGAGTTGGAGTGGAGACATCTCTACTCTGCACAGAGCCCACACCCCCTGCAGGGGCTGGGGTCGCTGACTGGGGGAGATGTGGGGGAGGGTCGGTGAGCACGTGACACCCAGAGGCTCTCAGCAAGACTCTCAGCAGAGGGGGCAGGGAAGGGGTACGGCCCTCCCTGGAGCCTGAATGGGCAAAGTAGGAACCCGGGCACTTGGGGCTCCTGGCCTCCTGCTGAGAGAGGCCAGGGAGCAGGGGAGGGGCCTCTGGACGCAGCCCTGCCCAAATTCCTGGCCCAGGGGCAGCGAGCTATGGGGACAGGCCCATGTCCGGGCTGGTTAGTCACACAGCATCATCACAGGAACGTGCGAGGCCCAGCCGGCTGCCCCCACTAGGAAAGGACCGAGGACATCGGGATCACCGGCCCGTAGCGCCCGGGGGACCCCTGCTCTCCCGAGGCGCGCTCCTTCCTCGGGGGCATGGGGCTTGGGGCTGGGGGCTGGATACAGCTCCAGGACGAGGATGAGGGTTTTGCGAGTCTCAAACTGGTCCAGCAGCCGGGTGACCAGCGGGTGGCTCAGCTCGGCCAGCACGTCTCGCTCCCGGTAGGCCTGGGCGCGCGTCCTGCTCCGCAGGGGGATGAACTTGGCTGCACAGGACATCTGGTTGCCCTTATGCTGCACCCTCTTCACAAAGCCGAACACACCTCTGGGAAGAGGGAGCCCACGCTGACTCCCAAGACAGCTCCGGGGAGGGAGGTGAGGCTCCTGGAGGGCAGGGGCTGGGGGAAGCGGGTACTGGGGAGGCAAGGGCTGCCTAGAAGTAGGGTTCACAGGGTGCAGGCCTCCTGAGGATTGGGGGGGGGGAGGTGAGGATGGGATGGGGGGCCTTCCAGGAGATGGGAGATCCCTAAGAGGTGAGGATTCTGGGAGGGCAGGGTCTGGGGCTAGGGGCTGGACAAGGTTCCCGAGATGACTAAGAGGTGGCCTCTGATAAGTGGGGTCCTCAGGAGGCAAGGATTTCTGGGGGGCCAGGGCTCCAGAGGGCAGGGTTCCAGGGGCTGGGCAGGGGATCCTGGGTGAGCGACTCCAGGAGTCCAGGTTTGGGGGACTGGGCAGGGATGGGGGCAGGGCTCTGGGGCTGGGGGAGATACCTCCCAATCTCTTCCTTGACTTCGTAGAAAGAGTGTAGTTTTCTCCGATAGCTCTGCTTCTCTGAGCCCAGGTCACTGGCCCCTGTAGCCCGGGAGCAGTCAGTGGCCGGTGTGGACAAAGATCCCCACCCCATCTCACTGTCCCCCAACTCCGTGTATCTGCGGGGCAATGCCCTGTGGCCAAGCCTGTGGGGGCTCCCAGGATTCCACGCCCGCAGGACGCCGGGCCGGGGCCTGGAAGGGTCCCTCACTCACCTCCATCCACCAGCAGCTCCGCCTTGCACAGCACCTGGCCACCAGCGTTCTGGGCCAGGCAGGTGTAGACCCCGGCGTCAAGCTGGGCCACGTCCCTCAGCACCAGGGAGTAGGTTGTCCCCTCCTGCTGCTGGCTGAGCCGCGCACTGTCCACCAGCTGGACGCCGTCCTGGAGGCACAGGAGATGGGCGACCATCAGCCCAGCCCTGGGCCCACCCTGCCTCCTGGGGGTGACATGCGATGTCCAGGGGGGATGTCACACGCTCCCTCCAGACACGGGGCCCCTCCCCCTCACCCCTACCTTATACCAGGTCACCGTGGGCTGCGGGGTGCCCTCGATGACCGCCTGGAATTGCGCTGTGCTGCCTTCCTGTGCCTGCACGTCCTCGATGGTGACCTGCATGGACGGGGGCCCTGGGGGAGGAGGAAGCCGTGGGGAGCAGTCCAGGCTGCCAGCACAGCCACCACCGCAGCCCACACAGCAGCCTGTGAGCGGGGCCTGCAGGGACCCGGGGGGCTGACAGAGACCCCAGGCGCATCGGGCGCCCCAGGTATCTCAAGGCCCTGAGCCCCTCGGGTGACAGAGCCCCAGGCCTCCTGATGCAGCGTAGGCTCCGGGCAGGGAGAAGGCGCTTCTGAGCACCGTCGCCTGCCGGCCCGGCTCCTGGGGGGGCACAGGAGCATGCTGACTCAGGCTGTCGGAGGGGACCCAGGGGCTGGGGTGTCAGGGGCGGACACAGCAGGCTGGCACCCATCGGGTGGCTCCTCCATGCAATGGTCCCCCCGCCAACTGCACGGCGGGCACACACGTAGCCTACTTGCTGCGGCACCCGGGTCGCCGGCCTTGTACACGTATGTCCGGTGCGTGGTCTCTGTGAACACGTGGCTGCAGACATCCCAGAGCTCAGGGGCCTCTGTCCCCGGCCAGGCCGCGCTCTCCATCCTGGAGTCAGGCAGCGGGGTGAGTCCACTGCCACCCATCCTCTTCTGGGGCTGGGCACTGACCCTGGTGGGCACTGACCCTGGTGGCAAAGTGGGTCCCTGCCCCACCCCTGCCCGGGGCTGCAGCAGATTGGATGGGAAAGGACTGCAGAGACCGGGGCCCAGTCCTGCGCATGGAGGGGCTCCCATAACCCGCTCGCCCTGAGGGGGGGCCTCTCCTCCTGGCGCTGCCCTTTGGCTGGGGCAGGGCTGATGAGGAATGTCCTGGGGTGCTGTGAGCCCACTTCCTCCTCGGCTGCCCTGCTCCCGGATGCCCCCTTCTAGAACGCCCCACCCTGTGTGCCAGGGACGTTACCTGATGGGCACCACGCGTTCGTGAGCTGCGGCAGGAGCCCCTGCGCCCTGGTCCTGGCTCCCAGGTGGGAGAGGCTCCGGCACCTTCCCGGACGCTGCTGGTGGGAGGCCGGGGCCTAGTGAGACAGAGCCCCAATGACATGCCCCCGTCACCCGCCGGGGCCCAGGGGGGCGCACAGGCAGAGCTGGGGCACAGGGTCCGTGTCTCCAAACCCGGACGCTTGCCGCCCATGTGCTCCTCCTCCAGGGCACTCACCTGTCCTAGCCGGGAGCCCGGGGCCACCCTGAGGCTGCCCACCTCCCCCACACCCCATCCCCCAGGGGGATGCGGCAGCCTCTGTGGCGAGATCCCCCTCGGCAGCATTCCTGGGGTGGCATCTGCCAGGGGCAAAGTGTCCTTCTTCATCCTCTCCTCTTCCCCCCTGTCCCCTCCCCTCCTCTCCTACCCTGAGCACAGGGTGCCCAGGCTCCCTGCCGGGGCTCTGACCCAGGCCTCTGACACCCAGGCGGTGTACTGAGGGTGGGAACCTCCCTGAGCTACCTCTGCCTGGTTTCGTAGATGGGTGACAGCCTGAGGAAGGGGTGGGCCTCGCCCAGGGCCCCAGTGAAAGGATCCCAGTGACACCTGGGTCCCCAGGGTTCTTGCACTTCAGCCCCACAGGTGACACCCGTGACAACCAAGGCTTGGGTGGGCACAGAGGAGGGGCTCCGGGAGCAGGGGGTGCTTGGCAGGCAGCCTGCCCCTGGGCCTCACCAGGTTCGTCTGCGGCCTCAGTGCCCGGGAGTGGGGAGCTGGCCTCCTGGAGAGCAAGTGGCTCCCGGGGGCCCAGGCCGGCGCGGTCCCCGGCGGAGGTTCCCGGAGCCTCCGGGCCCACCGGTGTCCTCTGGACAGTTGTGCTCTGGTCCACTCGCTCCGGGGCAGTGGGGGGTGGGACGGCGGCACCTGCGGGAAAAGTGGGTCAGCCTGGAGCGGTGAGACATGCCGGGCCCTGAGCGGAGGCTTCAGGAACCTCTCAGTCCTCAGAGAGCCCAGGTGAGACGAACAGGCTGCCCTTCCTTCCCTCCCATCACTCCTCTCTCAGGAGGCGCTGGGGGTGGAGCCCCTGAGAGATAGGGGGGCCTGGGAGGGGGCAGAGACGGTGCCCAGGGCACGGAGAGCCAAGCCCCACCACTCCTGCTCTTGTGCCCGATGCCTTCAGGAGAACGCCAGCTCCTCAGGAGCCTCTGAGCCTGGTCCCCCTCCATGTGCCCCATCGGCCCCAAGGTCTCAGCTCTCCCATCCTTCACCCTGTGCTGGCCTCCCTCATGGCTCACTCTGGACCCCAGGCCCAGGGGAGTCAGCCCCATTATATAGGAAGCCTGCAGCCCAGTGAGGGTCCTGGGGACCCACAAGGGGTGGGCTCCCTTACTGCCCTCCCATAGCAGACCCTGTCCCCCTCCCAGGATGGACTCCACCAGAGGGCCTGTCCCTTCCCTCCAAGTACAGCCTGGCTGGCCCAGGTCACTGCACCCTCATCTGGCCCTGCCCCGGCCTCCACCAAAGCTCCCACCTCTTCCTGAGGGAAGCACCAGACTTTTAGCCTCAGCCTCGGTGCCGCCCCTTCCTCTGCCTGGCTGCCCGCCCCAGGTGGCATCACTGCAGTCTGACAGGTGTGCCCAGCCATGCCCACTGCTCCATTCCCAGCGGGTCCCCCTGCCTGAAGTCCTCCTCTGCCCCAGGACCCTCTACAATATTTGGGTACCCATCCTGTCCTTTCCCACTCCAAAGGGACCCCGCACACATCACACCCCATTGTCTGTCCTGACAACAGCTGGCTGCACAGGGCAGGAAGGCCGGCCTGCTTGAATGCGGGCAGGCTGGGCAGGCGAGTGCGCTGCCTCCATCCAGGGACTTCAGACGGCCAGGACCCACCCAAGGCTGCAGCAGAGGGGGCCTGGGCTGCCCATGGGGACCCCAGGGCTAAGCCTAGAGGGCCCCTACCGCCCAAGTTCAGAGCCACTGGAAGAAGCAAGAAGGAGCAGAATACAGGGTGCGGGAGCCAGTTTATTATCATCACGGAGTCAACCAGCAGGGGCTTCTTCCCACCCCGGACCCTGGCCCATGCTGCAGGGAGTCCTGGAAAGTCTGCAGAGGGCACCCAGTGGGCCTTCCTGGGGCTGGGAGGAGTGTCCATGGGAAGATGTCCCCTCAAAATCCCCCACTGAGATGGGGGATGCTGGGCGTGGGCAGGGGTGTGCCACAGCAGAGAGTTGGGAGGCCACAGCCCAGACTGAGTCTACCTGCTGCTTTGCCCCCCACCCCACCCCAGCTCTCAGTAATCTGGGTTACAGCTGTGCGGACAGTGTCCTCAGCTGAAGACCCCGGGGGGCCAGGCAGCTGAAGTCCTGAGTTCCTGGAGAGCAGGCCCCTCTCCTGAGCTCAAAACCCACAGCAGCTGTGAAGCAGGTAGGTGCTGGTGCCAGGCAGGGTCCTCGGCTCCAAGGCCATGCCCCTCTTTCTGCTGCTCTCATGCAGCCGTGTCAGCAGTAAACTGGCTCCGAGAGGGTCCATGTCTCACCCCCGAGCCGCATGTGCCCTTGAGGGTCGAGGGTGGCAGCCTCAGCCCTGGGAGGGACTGGGGCCCTCATCCCCGTCGGGCCGAATGTGCAGGGTGACTGTCTCACCCACTGTCCCAAAGCTGACCGTGTGGGTGGAAACCTCTGTTTTGAAGCTGCTCTGGCCACTGTCCGCAGAGCGATGGACTTGGGTGCAGAAGGATGTGGCCCTCCTAGCCCGGGAGACGCCAACAGGGCGGAGGACCTGGGGCCTCGACAGGGCGGTCCCCTGGGGCAAGCGGCTGAAGATGCCAGGCGGGCCTCGGGGGCCTGGCGGGGGCCACACGTCCAGCAGGACGGGCTGTCCCACCGTGGGCTCGCCGATCTCTCTCTGGAGCACCGAGACCTCGCAGGGCGGGTCGTCGGCGACCCTGGGCCTGGGGCTGCTGCAGCCGAAGGTCTCCCCTTCCTGGGGCGTGTAATCCTCCAGGTCAGCCAGGGTCAGCGCACAGCCGTCACGTGTGAGGATCTTGGGGTCATAGCCCCGAAAGTCCTCGGCGCCCAGGGGCTCCTCCATCAGGGGGACACCTCTCCCCTCCTGCACCTCCGGGGACACCTCCTCTTCGGCGTCCGCACAGAAGACTCGGCCCTGGGTCAGGGGCTCCGGGGCCAGCAGCTTGTTGTTGGAGTTGTTTGTGTTGGGGTCTCCGCCGGGGGTCCCGCCGGGAAGCGTGAGGAGGAGCCCGGCCGAGCTGCCCGGAGCCTCTCTTGCCGGAGAGGCACCCCTGGAGCCCGTCTTCTTCACCTGGACCTCGATGGTCTCCTCCACCTCCACCCACTTGGACCTGGGCCCCGCGCCCCTGGGCGTGTGGGCTCCGGGCTCTGTCACGTACAGCGTGGGCACAGGGGGCTTCCAGCCTGGCTCCTCGCCAGGCCTGCGGAGTTGGCCGGCCCCTGGTGAATGCAGCAGCTCAGGGGCCGACAGGCCTGACCTGGGCGAACTGGCACGGCGCCGGGAAGGCGAGAGGGAGGGAGACTTGCTGGGGGACTTGCGGCGGCCTCGCGGGCTCTTCACCACGGTGGTGATGGTCTCCTCTCTGCAGGGAGAGGGCCGAGAGGAGATGGCACGGAGACCCGCAGCTGGGCTTGCCACCCATGCCACAAGCACAATCAGGGCCAGCAGGAGAGATCAGGTTAATGTACCAGCAAGCAGAGGGTGAAACTACATAAGCTCCTACACATGCACTGGAGCCCAGTCTTTGGAACCCCCATCCAGAGAGCCAAAGAAACAAACACAAAGTCTCATCTGGTCAAACATGGGCTCTGGTGCGCAGACCTCCAATCAGAGCTGAGGCATCACTGCATCACACAGGTGCCTCCAAACCCCAGACCGAGTGCCTGTGGGTAGTACTCCCCGTTTATAGCTTTCTTATTTTGAATGCCAGTCCTCCTCTCAGAGATAATGGCCAGCGTGCAAGGACAATGCCCTACAGTCCTCCTTCTCCCTTCTCCAGTGTTGTGTGCTTTGTGTCATGGGGAGGTGGCCCAGCAAGCTCTCAGAGAGCAGGTGCCTCAGTGATCTTGAGTTAGGGACAGACTTGGCAGTTGATGCTGCAGGTGCAGGTGTGAGAAGGGTGTCAGAGCAGCCTGGGTCCCTCCCTCTTGGTCTGGTGGTGTGGGGCTGGGCAAGGACACTTGGTGTGACTCTGCTGTCTTAGGCTTTGTGACCTAGACAAGCTCTTTCCTTCCTGGGCCCCATCTTCCAAACAGGAAGTGGGGGGAGAAGCAGAACTCAAGGCCAGTTACATGTGGGTGCACATGGGGTGCTGACCAGGGACTCTGCAGCAGCACTGGGATGGGTCTGGTCCCCTTTTACGGAAGTGGACAAGACTAAAAGAGGCTCAAAACTTGCTCAGGACCAAGAGTCAGAAGCCCACCAGCCAGCCAGGTCCTCCTCAGCTGTCCAATGCCCTGACCTGGCTGGGTGCTGAGGGTGAAGTGAGGAACAGGCAGGGAGAGCAATGGGCTGAGTAACACACAGCTTTCCTGGGCCCCAGGACCTGCATTTTCTCTTGGGCTCAGGCAGAGGAACTTGGTGAGCTGTCGCCAGCTGCCTGCCTGATAAGACATTGTCTTCCTTTCTCCAGCTTTGCTTTTGTCTAACTCAGGGCTCCTTCCAGGAGCAGTTCCCCTCGGGCATAGCCCCAGGGATTTGTGACCACACCTCAGGGTGCAGAGTAGTTAGAGGCCCTGCCTCCTCCAGCCCTCATCTGGTCAGGGGGAAATGCTATCTCCATCTCACTGAGGAGAAACTGAGTTTGGAGTCAGAGCCTATTCAGGGCCAAAAACCTGCCTTCTTGCCTCACACTCAGGCCCAGAGGTCAGTGTCTGCCCAAATATCAAGGGAACCTGGGCCAGGTCCCATTGCTGGCCTCATGCTGCTTAATTGGCTAAGGAAGGATAGTAGGTCAAGGTGGAACTGGGAAACTGGATCACTCCTCTAAAATGCCACTCCCAGCCTGGCTGGTGGTGCTCAGTGGTTGGAGCGTCAGCCCATGATCCAAAGGTCACAAGTTCAATTCCTGGTCAAGGGCATGTACCTGGGTTGCAGATTTCATCCCTGGGCCTGGTCGGGGCACATGCAGGAGGCAAGTGGTTGCTGTATCTCTTTCACATCGATGTTTCTCTGTACTCCCTCTCCTCCCTCCTGTCCCCTCTCTCTAAAAATCAACGGAAAAATGTCCTCAGGTGAGGATTAACACAAAAATAAAATAAATAAAATGCTACTCCCACTACTGGGGTCACTACTGCTTCCATAAGGGCATGTGGGTATCCTGCTCTGAGGCCCCTGATTGGCACAGCATGTGGGGCTCCCAGGTCTCTCCAAGCCAGTTGCTTCCATACCCTTGGCTTCCCAGTACTGTGTGATGTTCCCCTGGTAATGGGCATGTTGTGCCAGGTAGTTGCCTCCCTCCACTTCCCAAGCTGAACGGGTACACTCCTTGTGGGGTGAAAGTTGCTATGACCATGAGCCTGAAATGCAATGAACTTTAGGGTACTTGAAGTCACCTAGTCCAGGCTCCAGTTGGCATGAGTCCTCTCTGACCGTCCCCCGCCACATACGGCTGCCTGTTCCATCTCTTCTTCTCAATATGTCATCCAGAAAATGTGAAAATAGCAATGCTCCACTCATGGATGAAATGTAGAGCTGATCTGTGTAAAGCTGCAGAGTAGTTGCATACCCCCAGGGATGGGGTGCTCATTGCTGCCCCAGGCAGCCCCATCTATTGTGTGTGGTGACCTGCTTTGTGGGAGGAGGAGGAAGATTAACCCAGGACTTAATCAAATGTGTGAATATGGGATTCTCTAGTAACATGACTAACTGCAGGCCCTTTAAGAGGCCTGAGGCCTTGGGGAGCTAATAGGTCGTCATCCTGGAGTTCTCAGTCATTTGGCTTTAGGAAATGATCACCTTTATTGCCTCCTGGCTTTTGCAAGCTCTTCCACCACATCCACCTGCATGCATCTCCTATTGGAAATCCTTTCAGATTGTCCAGGACAAAAACAATCCCGCCCTCTGTAGCTTCAACTAGCTCTGGACCTCTTGTGTTATTTAATTATCAACAACTTTACAGGCCCAGTGGGCGTGGCACTGGGAAAATGGGTGCTTGGTTAGCTTTGAATCACGAGCCACCCTTAGAAACCCTCTTTTTTCCCCCCTGAACCTCAGTTTCCCCATTTTCCAAATGTGAGGGTTGGACTTGGAGATGTCTATGGGCTCCAGAGCTATGGTTACACTGTTTTAATTAAAGTCAAGTTAGTGAAAGCTAAATTTAAAATTCAGTTCTTCATTTGCACTAGACACATTTTAGATGCCCAATAGTCACATGCAGCTGCAGTAGACACTGTAAACATGTAATATTTCCATCCTCACAGGAAATTATGTTGGACAGCCACACTCTAGATGCCAGGCTGTTGAAGGGTAGAAATATGCCCCTGGCCCAGCAGGACACAGTTGTCAGTCCCAGATCTACCCTAACAAGTGTGACTCTAGGTAAGACTCTGTGAAGTGTGCAGAGTAAGTCTACCCTCCTGAGGCAGTGCAGCCATGGAGAGGGTTCTGGGGCTCTGAAAGAGAAAGCTCTGAGTGTGAAGGTAGCCACATTCAGGGGAGTGACTTCCCTGGGAGTACCTGCAAGGTGCTGGCAGTCTGTGTGGCAAGCAAAGGCAGTAGTGAGAGCAGGCAGTCAGACAAGCAGGTGCCAGACCACACGGGCAAGATCCAGGTGGGTTAGTGGACATGCAGGTGGCACGGCAGTCAGAAGGAGGGTTAGGAACACGCCTGCACTTACATGATGACGGTTTTCTTGGGGACTTTAGTCTCCTGCTCAGTGACTACAAAGAAAACAGTCGGAATAGCGAGGGTTACAGATCAGTCAGCACGTAGGGCCAAGCTAGCTAAGTGGCATGGCAGTGTAGTAGCCACTCAGCATAGGAGCACCAGGTCCAAGCCCTGCCGGGCTGTGTGCCCCTGAGACACTCTCTCAGCCTAGAGCACCAGTTTCCTCATTGAACTGCTGACTTGTCTGCCTTGCATGGTGTGGCAATGCGTGCTCCAGGAGGGCAGGGCCTGTCCCTCTTGAGGGTCTTTCAGGAGCTTCAGAGAGAGCAAGGCCCTTTCCTAGGCTGCACACACAGAAACTCCTGCTTCTCCTTCAGCTATGTGCCTGGGGAATCCTGGGAATTTGTTAGGCCTATGGTCCTACTTCTCAGACAGAAACTGAGGTCTAGAGAGAGAGAAGGAATAGCCTGTGGTTGCCCAGTTAGCAAGCAGCCAGACTAGAACAATGATATCTGATGCCCATTTCACAGGAAAGAAACCCTAAAGATCAAAAGTGTCTCCGGGAGGGAGCGGCTGGAGTCCCGGAGGAGGTGCATCTGAGCTCCACAGTGGAAGAACACAGAGGCCCATGGGGGCAGCCTGCAGACGCCTGGGCAGCCAGGTCTCCCCATGGGAGCGCCCAGCTTTCCTCCTCCCTGGAGCAGCAGGATCAGGCCTGTGATTCCTGGCTTGTGATGGGGGTCCCAAGTCCCAGAGACAGAACAGGACTTGTCTGGGGCCAGGCAGCAGTTATGCTATCATCTGAAGGCCTCTTTTTCTGCAGCTTCTGGGTGGGGTCAGGCTTGGCTCAGGGATGCCCCGCCCAGTCTCACCCACCTGGGCAGCAAGGATGCCACTGGCTACCAGCACCCTCAAATCTCACCATCCTGTGTAAGCGGAAGGGGAGGCTCTGCTTTGCTGCAGAGCCACGTGGAGTAAGGCTTCACCTTAGGCAACCAAGAGCGTTTTAAACTTGTCTGTGATCAGGTGCATGTGAATTAGATGTACTAGCTGAGTCTGTGTGGCCCTTGGGAGTCACATTTACTGTGTGCGCACACATGTGTGTGCGTGTGTGGGTATGCACACAGGTGTATGTATGTGCATGCATGTGCATGTTTGTGCAAGTCTCTTCCTGGAGAGAGGGCAGCCTGCTGGGAGAGAATGGGTTCAGACAAAATGCCATATATTTGTCTAAGCTGGGCCCAGAGAGCCAGCCTGTTGGCTGCCTCCAGGCAGACTCTGTGCACAGAGCAATGAGAGAACCAGGCCTCTGCTTCTCACCCTCCCTGACAGGCCCGTCCAGCTGCTTTTGGGAGTGCTGGCCTGGCACCCCTGGATGGCTTTGTTCCTGAACTAACTGCAGCCTGACAGGCCCTGGGCCCTGCTGAGAACTGGCGACTGTGGAAGGGTTCAGACGTGCGAAGCAGGACTTCCAGCCCAGTGCGGTTTCACAAGCAAGGGGGCAGCGCCCACTCCACAGGGCCAGCTGGCTGCGGGCCACCAGGTTATCGGTAAAGCAGCAGGCCAGGGTTAGGAAGCGGGAAGTGGCGGGCTCCGCCTCCAAGGTCTCTGAGGGCCGGCCATCTCCCTGAGTGAGGCTTGTCCACACTGGAGGCCGGTCACGGAACATTGACAAGAAAAGATCCACCACGACAGTGAAGAGAACGGCTCTGTAGGACGCGCTTATCCCCAGCCGAGAGGGAGCTCCAGCCCCTTGCACAGTACATCCCCTGGAGATGCCACCACAGGAAGTGGAGGTGCCAGAGGTAGCCCTGTCCTCCGGCAGAACTGGCAGTGCAGGCAGTCCTCCAGAACATTGCCCACAAGGAGGGCCGGGTCTCCATGAGGGCCCTGGAGAGTCTCAAAGCCCTGGAGAGTCTATGTGGCCAACTCTGTGAGGGTCCAGACAGACAGTGGCCCCCAGACGCCGGGTCCTGGGAGGGACTGGGTCTAGTGGCCAAGGATCACAGCAGCCAACTTGCAGAATTGGGAGGACACACATTTCAACTTGTCCTACAATGGGAATTGCAGTTCCACCAGGTGTTGGCCCAGCCTGTCCTTGCATGTCTCCAGGGACGGGAAGCCCACCATTTTCCCGACAGCCTCTCCCAGGTGAGGCAGCTCAGAGGGAGCAGTTCTCCCCATGGTGGCGGCCTGCTCTGTGAGCCCCACAAGGCTGTTCTCTCAGATGGAGCAGGCCCAGGACAGATGTGAGCTGCCCTCCTCCCCATCCTGGCCATCCTCAGCCAGGCCCAGCTGGGACCCTGGGGTCACAGTGTGTGTGAGTGGAAGCATGAGGCACGCCCCTGCCTTTTGCCTCCTGCCAGAAACACACCTTCCTAAATGAGGCCCATTCTGTAGTCTGGTCCACCGCTCCCCGTCCCAGGACCCCAGGAGCGGCCCCAGGCCAGGGATTCGCAACATGGACATCCTGCCTAGTATGGAGGGACCAGCACCATGACATCTGCTCCATTTCCAGGGAGCCAAGCTGGAGCCCAGCTGCCTACACTTTGCTAGCCCCCCCCCCCCCGCCCTCACCATTCCTACTGCCCCTCCCGTGAGGACTTGGTGGTTGCTGCCCAGCGGGCTGCCCAGTCCCAGGTCTTCCCTTTATACTCACTCACAGGGCTGGTGAGCAGGGCCTGGACCCTGAGCTCTAGAGTTGTTGGACCAGCCATGCCCGGGTTCTGGGTTTATGGCCCATCATCCCCATCCCACCCACCTTGTATTCCAGTCAGGCCTCTGCAGCCCCTCCATTCAATGCCTCTTCTCCGGGGAGCACACCCCGATTGGAAGGACTGATGGTGTCACCCCACCCAGCCCTGCCCACGTGCATGGCAAATCCAGCCAGGCCGAGACCTTCTGCAGCTGCACCTACCTTCCACCACAGCCACGTGCTCCCGGCGGCGTTCCCTGGCCTGCAGGGTAGGGCCTTGCAGGCACAGCTGCACGCCGTCGCGTACGGAGCCCAGCCGGTTCACCAGCTGCGGGACAGACACACACGGCAAAGGCCACTGAGAGTCCAGGGAGCCTGACTCGCCCCTTTGGTGAGTAAGGACTGGCTAGAGCATGGGGCCGAATGGAACTTACAGGGCCCAAGCGGACTTGAGACTGACATGGAGGGCAGACCCCTCCTGGCCCACCCCAGGCTGCTAGCGGCAGTATCAGGGAGGAGGCTGGCCCCAGACAGACACAGCCCGCACACCCTGTCCCTGGACCATGAGGGGCAGGACAGACGCTGCCCAGAGCCTCGCTTACGGAGTCCTGTTAGCTCATCCTCAATGGGGTGGAAGTTGCCTGGTTTCCCTCCTGTAATGATGAGTGATGTGCGACAGTGGCCTGGTGCTCCCTCTCAGAAGGTGAGTGACAGTCTGTCTGGTGTCTCCTCTCTCACCACGGTGGTGGGAGACACTTTCATGGCACCCTGTCTCAGAATGGACTTTGGTAAATCTGTTGTACAATCTCTCATCATGAATGGTAGGTGACAGCAAGCCTGTGTCCCCTCCCTCATTATGGATCATGGATGGTGGTGGCAGTGGACCTGACAGCTTCTGTCTCATCCGTGGATGTGGATGACAATGGACTGTCCACCCTGGACCCTGTGGGACCTGAACCTGGTGTCCACTCTACATCATGTGTTACCGATGGCGATGACAAGGTTGTGGCCCCATGGCAAGCCCCCCCACCACTTCCCTTCATCCTCCCTCCTCACCTCACACTCATAATGGCCAAGGTCCTCCTTGCTGGCCTCACGGATCTCCAGCACCAGCAGGCCACTGCGTGGCTCACTCAGGGTCCGGTACTTGCCGCCAGAGGTCAGGAGGACCCCGTCCTTGTACCACCTGAAGCCAGCAGCCCCAGGAGTCAGTAGGGCCTCTCCAGCCCCCAGGGCTCATGACCCACCTCACCCATCCCACAGACCTGGTGTCCTTACGGCATCCAGCCTTTTGGATGCCATCTGCCCAACATCCAGCCTGGCAGTGCCCTCCTTGCTGCAGCGAGGGCTGTGTCAGACAGGCCACGCCCCCAAGACACCCACTTCTCACCCCCATGGCTGAGCTTCTGTCTAGTTGACCCAAACCCAGTGAACATGCTGCCCACCCTTGATTTACAGGCAGAAGTGGAGGCCCTGGGGCAGACCCACCCCCCTTGTCCACCTAACCCACCTGATCTGAGGGTGTGGAGCCCCTTCGATGGTGCAGGTGACCTGGGTGTCCTCTCCTTCCATGAAAGGCACTGCCCTGACCTTGTTCACAAACCTCGGGGGGACTGTGGGGCCGCAGGGTTGGGAGGAGAAAGGGAGGGAGGGAGGGAAGGAGATGAAAAGAAACGGAGATAGGTAAAGAGATACACAGAGAGATAGATTGAGAGACACCGAAAGGCAGAGGAAGGAAGAGGTAGAGAGACAGAAAATATGGAGAGAGAGAGACACAGAGAGGAACACAGAGACAAAGAGAAAAGGCATAATGTGCAGGACCCCACCCAGACCAAGGAGCCCCCAGACTTGGGTCAGACATCCACAACCACCCTCAGCTCATCCGAATGCCTGCACCGCCGTGGGGACTGCTGTGGTGGGTGTGGTCTGGGTGCCCATCCAGCCTCCTTCTCAGGCTCACCCTGCACCAGGATCTTGCCCAGGGTGCTGGCATTGCCGGCAGCGCTGGCCGCAAAACACATGTACTGGCCAGAGTCCGCACTGGTCAGATTGTCCAGGATGAGCGTGCACGAGCCATCGGGGTCTTCAATGAGGATGTGGTGAGGGTCCACGTCCACTGGCTTCCCATCTGGAAAGGAGGGAGGCCGTCATAGAGAGGTGCCCGGGGACAAGAGGCGGGGCTTGCCTGGGGTCACGGTCACAGGCAGTGAGGGATAGAGGGCGGTCCTGAAGCACAGGGGCCAGGCGCAGCTCCCTGGATACGTCCCCAGGCCTTCGTGTGCACAGTGTGGCCTTTGGAGGGTGGGCTCTTATCTGGAGGCAAGAGCAGGCTGGGGGCCTGAACCCCATTCCGATAACCAGACCCTGAGCCGCCTTGCCAGTGCTTCTGTGACCTCCAGGCACCTCCAAGGCGCAGACCTCCCCAATGGCAACCGACACGCTGTCTGAATGTCAGCCCAACCTAATGTCTCCAGCCATCATGTGAGTCCTTCCTAGGTGAGGGGTGCGGGAGGCGCACCTTTCACTCCGGAGAACTCTTTCCTCCGTAAATAAGTGAAATCCCATAAACAAACGTTTCCCTTAGCTCTGTGTGTGCTAAACAAGGCGGTTTAAATTACAACCGTTCATAACCAGAATCGTGACCTTTAATTCACAGGAAACCAAATGATTTTAACGCGTACAAACGAAGCCTCCAGCCGCCACCCCATTCCTCTCCTCCCCTGTACCAAGTTCCAGGACAGTTGTCCTCACTCCAGTGCTTCCTTCTCACCGCCCCCAACGCGCGCGCGCATCCCCCCCCCCCCCTTTCATCTCCCCCAGAACAGCTCTCCGCAAGGCTGCTGGTGACATCATCAACCCAGTGCCTCCTCAGTCCTTGTCCTACTGCCAGTGAACAGTCCTCCAGGCCTTTCTAGCATCCCACGAGGCCCACCGCTGTGCAGACATGCCGCCAGCTCCGGCCCTTGATGAGACACCTGGGCTGCCCAGGGCACAGAGACAGAACCTCTCCTCACTCTCCCCCCTCCCCGCCCCGCCTTCACCCCCGCCCCCACCCCTGCCCCCAAGGCATTTCTCTCTCTGGGAAATGGCCGGACAGATGGGTCAGCAGCCCCACAAAAGCTCAGCACCACCCTGACCAGTTTGGCTCAGTGGATAGAGCCTGCGGACTGAAAGGTCCCAGGTTCGATTCCAGTCAAGGGTATGTACCTTGGTTGTGGACACATCCCCAGTAGAGGGTGTGCAGGAGGCAGCTGATTGATGTTTCTCTGTCATCGATGTTTCTAAAATTTTCTATCCCTCTCCCTTCCTCACTGTAAAAAAAATCAATAAAATATATTGAAAAAAACAAACTCAGCACCTTCTAAATCTTGGGATCTCTCTTGTGGTGCAAACCACTGTGCACAGCTACCATCTGGCCCTGGGCATGGGGATCAGGGCAACTGACCCAAAGCTCTGTGCTTTTCTGTGACCAGCAGTCTCTATCTCTGACCAGGTTTTGTGTCTGTCTGGCTGGGAGGCAGGAAATCATCTCAGATTCTTCATGGCTTCTGATGTTCAGTTTGGTGACAAGCAAGGAACATAGTCAGAGACACCTCATTCCAGCAGAGAAAGAAGGTGGCCAGTCCAGGGCCAGAGGGAGGTCCATGCCAACCAACCTATGTGGTCAGCTGAGCAGGCACAGACCTCTCCATCTGCTGCCTGGGAACGGAGAGGGGCGGCTGGACAAGGGCTGCAGTCTGTGCGCCCAGAGGGAGGCTCTGAGCAGATCGCTGGTTGGGGCCTTGATCGACACGCTCTCTCTGGCGCTGTTGGTCCAGCCTCAGGTCACCCTGCTTCTCGATGTGTGGACAGAGCTGGCCCTGATGTAGCTAATCTGCCACCTTGACTCCTGGCCCCGCCCCTAGGACGCTGTGCTCTGCTTCTGGAGTGATTCAACCTGGACCTGTCTGTCTCTTGACCAGCTTTGATGCCAGACCCCATGGGCACCTGGCAGGCTCCCTCCCTTTAGATTAACATGTCTTTCCCACGACACCCTCTCACTGGCTACAAACGGTCTGGGAGGCCAAGCGGGGAGATCTGTATGTAAGCCTCCTGTTAACCTCACTAATCGACCAGCTGGACCTGTCTGCCTCATTCTTTGGTGTGTTGGCTCCCTCAGCATTAGGGGAGAGCTTTGCATGCACAGCCCTCTTCTGAAACATCAACAAGTGCTACCACCTGCGTGAGCCATCATCAATCCCGATGGGCAGAGGACAGGAAAAGTGAGAATTCTGGGCATGAGGATAGGCACCTGAACAGAAAATGTTCCACAGGGAGCCACTGATGGCTGGCACACGGCTTGTGGCACCTGGGTGGTGTCTAAAATGCTGGTGACGGCTGGAAGAGGTGGCCTGGGGGCATGTTGTCTGATAGGTGGCCCTGCCACCTCAGAAATCTTTTTTTTTTTTAAATATATTTTATTGATTTTTTACAGAGAAGAAGAGAGAGGGATAGAGAGTTAGAAACATCGATGAGAGAGAAACATCAACCAGCTGTCTCCTGCACACCCCCTACTGGGGATGTGCCCACAATCAAGGTACATGCCCTTGACCGGAATCGAACCTGAGACCTTTCAGTCCGCAGGCCGACGCTCTATCCACTGAGCCAAACCGGTTTCGGCCACCTCAGAAATCTTGTTCAGCCATCACAGAAAGGCTAGAGATGGACAACCCACAATAAAGGTCAACCTGCTGCCGGGACCGGTTTGGCTCAATGGATAGAGCGTTGGCTTGGGGACTGAAGGGTCCCGGGTTCGATTCCGGTCAAGGGCATGTACCTTGGTTGCGGGCATATCCCCAGTAGGGGTGTGCAAGAGGCAGCTGATCGATGACTCTCTCTCATCGATGTTTCTGGCTTTCTATCTCTCTCCCTTCCTCTCTGTACAAAATCAATAAAATATATTTAAAAAAAAAAAAAAAGGTCAACCTGCTAAGTGGACAGCATAAAGGTCACTACCACACAAGTTAAACCACAGTGAGCAGAAGGGCATGGAACCCAGAGAGTGATTACGCAGCTGTTCAGACAAGGGGTCCCAGGGCTGAAATGGATACATCAGCAGAGATGGTCATGCTGCCAAGGCTAGGGTGTGGGCAAGCCCAAAGCACTGGATGTCACTGGACTGCGGAAGTGCGTCTGATCCCTGGCCCCTTCCTCTCCTCCACCCACCACCACTGCTTTAAGAGAACAATGATCAGGCGTGGTGGGCAGCAGCCTCTCTGGTCCTACGTGCTCGTCCTACATGCTGGGGCCTCAAGCAGGGGCAGAACTCAGACCTTCAAAGGTCTTCTGATTCAGGCACTTGGACTCCACGGATGGAGTCTTCACAAGGTTCCCGGTTATCTGGGAAGATAGTGTCCGGGGACTGTGTCTGTGGCTCCTACCTCTAGACCCTGATGTTTGCTGTGTTTGGGGGGGGGGGAGGAGCACATTGAGAGGTGGTCCTGGAGTGTGGAACCGCTTCAGCCCCGCAGTCAGTCCCTTCTCAGCTTGAAGCTTAGAGCCCCACGGAGAAAGGAGGTTCGGGGCCTCCTGTGTGATGTGAAGGTAGTTGGGTAACGGAAGAGCCTGCGTCCCAAATCAACAGCCTTGTACAGCCGGAGGGAGTGGACTGTCACAGCCTGATCCAGTCTCTACTCCCGTGGCTCCAGCTGGGGAGGCAGGGTGGCAGCAACAGGTCTGCTGTGCATTCTCATGGCAAGGTCTCCAATACACACGGCCAGGGCTCTCTGCTCCCGGCAGCAGCCCCAGGTGGGTCAGGACTTGACCCTCTGCCCCCAACACTCAGCTCCTGCTGTATGAGGACATGCTGTCTGCTGGCGAGTCTGACTTCTGCCCGATGCTGCTCTTCCCGGCCAAGGTTGTTATGTGCTTGAGCAATTGCAAGTGGCTTGGCTGTTTGTTTTGCCACTTAAAACACAGTGGCCTGGCAGAAGACACCCCCACCTTGGGCTGTGAGCCACGGAGGTAAAGAGAGGCTGCTGATGGGCTCCAACCCAGCACCAGGGTTCTGCATGGAGCTGCCCCGGGGTGCAGGGCACTGACCCCACTGCAGCCACACAGAGGACAGCTGAGAAATGTTCTAGTCCGGGTGGGGGCACATCACATGAGCGGACCCCTATCCTGGCAAGTCAGCACCTCAAGGGCTATCTGAGATGTTTCCCGTCATGATGCTGTTTCGGGTCAGCCAACCGTTTGCTCTGGCCACACCCCATGGGTGCATGCACCACCCGGACCACCTGCAGTTTGACCACCATGTCAGTGTGAGCTGTCCGTCCAGCTTCCCCTCACCTCTTGCACTCACTGGACCCAGATGTCCCCAGACGACCCATCCCCTCCAGGGTCTCACTGGGTAAGCGCCAGGGTGAAAGAGAGAGGCGCAGTTAAGAACCCAGGGTTCCACCCTGACCGCAGGGTGAGGTACGCCTTATTCCCCTCGGATGTGGTAGGCCAGCACATGCGCCTAAGGACAATCTGGCCAAAAGGAGAACCTGAGGAAGGCCAAGTCATGTCTGGAGGGCCTGAGCCTGACTTTCAGGGAAAGGTCTGGGTGCAGAGGGACAATGGAAGGGAGCTGTACAGGTTCTGTGCAGGGCAAGGTGTCTGGGAGAGAACCATGTGGATCCCAGGACATGGGCCAGCAGGCCTCCTTCCAGAAGGAAGACCCCGGGAACCAACTGCCACGGGAACCAGCTGCTGCATCCCCAGGTCTGCCATGCAGCTCTGACCGAGGCACAGGGAGACCCCTCCTGCACGTCCCCACAGAACGCCCCTGTGTGTCCTCTCCAGCCCCATCCTTAGCCCTTCAAGGACAGACAAACGCCCCTGGCGAGGGGTGGACAAGTAGGACAAGAAGGACTGAGAGCCCTGGAATAAATCCTCCGAAACCAGGACTGGACTTGGTTATTTACCCTTGACTAGGGTCTCAGAGGACTACTGCCAGTCCAGAGGAAGCTTATCTGCCCGCCCAGGCGACCTCTGACAAGAGATCCCGGTTTACCTGGGTCCCGGACCGCTCGGAATGGCCTGTGCTACACTGTGGTTGAGCATGGGGGCTCTGGAACACGCAGCGTCAGATTGACCCCTGGAGGGGCTGTGACCCGTGCAGCAGTGGGTCGTGACAACATGAACGACCCCCAACAGAAAGCCGGAACACTAGAGCGTGATGAGAGCCCCTCGCTGACCACTCTCCCTGAGCTGTCCATCACCAGAGCTGGGAGAACAGGCACTGTCTGCCCAACCCACCTGCACCTGGCCAGCCCCGCCCCACACCCTCCCCCCTTTCACAGCAATAACTGGAACCTCAGTGGAAGGGCTCTGCTGAGTTCTGGGAATCACTGAACCTAACAGGAGTTGTGGGACCCCGGACCTTGCCGCCAGAGTGAGGGTGTCCCGGGGATCCCTGAACTCTGCAGCTCCCATCACTCAGTCAAATGTGAGGCCCCACGGCAGCCCACGTTTCCCGCTGTTCTGCCGCGGCGCCCCCTCTCCCTGGCCTTCTGGCCACCTCACTGCTCTTCGGAAGCCTCAGGCAGGTGTGCCAGCTGTGCCTTGTTCTGACTTCCCGCCACACCTTTGTCTGTCTGCTGCCGCTGGTCCACTCCCCTAGAGAGCCAGCTCCCACGGACAGGGTTGATGCACACCCTCCCCTTCATCCCACCTCACGCACCCCGGCCATGCTGTCTTTGATTTGGGAGCAGGCTACTGGGGCAGGAGCACCCAGCCTGTCCCTGGCCCTCCGCCCCTGACCAGGCCCCACCCTGGTCCTGGTCCCCACCGAGCCTGATTCCCCCCGGGCGGCTCTGCCTTGTGGCAAGGCCAGCAGCCTGAGCCCGCGGGGACCTACCTTTGTACCAGCTGACGATGGGCTTGGGTGTGCCGGTCACACGGCAGGCCAGCTTGACTGTTTCACCCAGCTCGGCTGTGCAGTCGGCCAGCTCTTCCTCAAAATCCGGCGGCCCTGGGGACACACACACCACACACCTGGGCCGAGTGCTTCCCCGGCCCTCGGTGCACCCCTGGTGGGGCCAGAGGTCCAGGGCCGAGCAGTGTGGTTGCTGCAGTCACCACCCCTTCGGAGCCCTCACTGGGCCCGAGTGGGAATCTGAGTCAGCGTCAGGCTGGGTGCAGGGGGGAGTGGTGGGGAGTGTGGAGAGGAGAGTGTGCTCTAGATGGGAAAGGAGACCCAGGGATCAGACCTTCACACCCCTAACCCCTCTGGGCTTCTCTGCTGTGCTGAGGGCCCCCGAGTGAAACCTGATGGCCCCACTCGGGTCATAGCCATCCCAGCACCCCAGCGCAGGCTGAACTGATTGAGGGGTGCTGCACAGGCAGGGGCAGGGGCCCGGATGTCCCCGAGCCAGATGGCCTGGCTGGCAGGCTTGATCCCCCATCCAACCTCACCGCTAGGACCAGCACTCACGCCAGACGGGGAGGGCCAGGCGCTGCTGGATGCCGCAGATCTCCTTCACCCACGCGTTCTTGGTGATGACAGTCCGGGCCTGCAGGAGGTACTTGCGCACCGAATCCTCCCGCTCGTGCCACACCTCGAAGGCACGGTCGTCCCCCTCCACCTGCTCGTTCAGGTCGATGCTGCTCAGCTGTGAGGGGAGGAAGCAGGCTGACTGCCCGGGACGTGGCCAGAGGACCCACCCAGGGCTCCTCCTGCCCACCCTGCAGGCTCCCCCCCCACCCCCCACCACCCAGGCTCCTCTGTGCCTGCACACCTTCATCATGTTCCGGAACACGTAGCTGAAGGTGTCGGTGTGGGAGTCCCTCTTGGGCTTGCAGACCACCAGGTGGTTGCGGAACAGGAAGACGTGGCGGTGGTGGCCCTTCCAGGGCATCCGCGCACCCGGTGCCCCCTCCCACACGATGAAGTGGCCCTGGGAGAGGGGTCAGGCCTCGGTCAGCCTGAGGCACCGCCCCCCCGCCTCCCGTCCTCTCTGCCTGGTGCCCTCCGCAGACCTGGCGAATGGGCTCGCCCAGGGCCTCCAGGGTGCCCGGGTAGTTCTCCATGAGCGACACGTGCAGCTGGTTCTCGGCCCGCTGCGGCAGCGCCGACACCACGGCGTAGGCCTGCTCCAGCAGCGCGCAGTTCTGCCGGTTGCGCGCCTTGTTGCGGATCAGCTCCTGCGGAGAGGCCCCGTCAGGTGCCCGCCAGCCCGGGCGGGACGCGGTGGTGTGGGCGAGGGGCCGGGCCCACCTTGAGCAGAGCCTGGTACTGCTGCACCCGCTGCACTGGCTGCTCCAGGAAGTGCTGCAGCGGCGGCGGGGGCGGCTGCGAGGGGTCCGTGGCCGACAGCACCTCCTCCGAGTATTTCTGTGGGAACCGCAGAGCCGTTTCAGGGCAGGAGGGCACCTCACCTCCCACCCGCACCGGCGGCGGCGGGTGAGAACTGCAGGGCTCTGCCTGCTTTGCTCACAAGCCAGGGCTTCAGGGCCCCAGGGCCTGGGCCGGCTGTGGGGCCATGGCAGGAGGTAGGACGCCGGCAGGGTCAGGGAAGATGACCTTGGAGACGGAGTGGGGGGGGGGAGGGGCCGCAGCACTGGCTGGGGGAGGGGCACCTTGTAGAACTCCTGCACGGCTGTGCTGACCACCACTGACTCGGCCTGCACCCGGCCCACCAGGAACTCCAGATACTTCTCAAAGGCCTCCTGGTTCTTAAGGAAGCACATGGCCACGTCGTCATCTGTCTCGCAGCTCTGCAGCTCCTGCAGGAAGCTGGCGTGGAGGCAACAACGTCAGGACCCTGCTCACTGCTCCTGCCAGCCTGTCCCAGGTTTGGGGAGAAATAGGCAGAGTCCTGGGAACAGGCTGGGCTGTGAGGACATGTGCATGTGGTGTTTTAGGGTGTGCACATGTGTGCGCACACATGTGACCAGTGCGTGTACATTGGGGCATATATATGTAAGCATGTGTGCACAAGTAAACAGGTGCATGCATGTAGTGCATGTGCATTGTCTGCTGTATATGTTGTGTGGCTGTGCACATGTACCCAGGTGCCCAATGTAACCCATTCCCATGCATGTAATGGCATGTGTGCCTATGTACAGAGGCTGCAGCAGATAGGAGTGCTGGGTAAGCAGGTGCACACGCCTATGTTCCAGAGGATGTGTGTATCTGTGTACATGGGTGTGGCGTGCCAACAAGTGCATCAAGTGCGCAGTTTCTCTCTCGTCTGTCTTGGCTCCTGCTAAGCCTTGGAGGCCCAGCCTGAGGGTACATTCGCACGTGTGTGGTATGTCTGCATGTGTGTGCATGTGTCTGCACACACAGGCCCGCTTACCTGTTGTGGAACTGGCCGAGGTCCTGCACGTTGCGGAAGATGACGGCCTTCTGGCCGGCCACCGCGGCCGGCACGTGGGGGCAGTGGTCCAGGTGCTGCATGTGGTGGCTCTGCAGGAACTGCAGCTTGCCCACGAAGGCCTGCTCAGAGCTCAGCAGCTCCTGGACGATGGAGCTGGAGGCAGGTGAGGGGACCAAGAGCTCAAATGCTGAACAGGCACCAGCCAGACGGTGGAGGGGGCAGTCCCACCACACAACCTCGTCAACCAAAGATCCCCCGCCGTGCTCCTCACCTCAACCGCATCCTGTACTCATCCTCAGACACGGCCTCTCCAGGGAACTCGGGGGCCTCCGTGGGCCCCCACTCGGGCGACAGCTGATGAGGCACAGAGAGGGTTGGTGGTGGCCTGAGCGCTGGCCCGGCCTTCAAACTCACCTGCTCCCTCCCAGGCCGTCCAGGTACCTTGAGCCGCCTGTCCAGATAGGCGGGGGACACCCAGCCCTGCCTCGAGGGGCTGGACTTGGTGGGCTTGGTCCGCACCAGCCAGCGCAGAGGGTGGGCCGAGTCCAGCACCTCCACGTACTGGCCCTCCCGCAGCGAGATGGCGTCCTGCTCGGCCCCCAGGGGCAGGTAGTCGGCGGTGACCACGTAGATGTCAAAGATCTGGGGAGGAGGGCGCTGCGTCAGGCCAGAGGGCGCCAGCTGCAGGGCTTCCCAAGGCCCCTGCCACGGGGCCCGGGCCCCATCCTAACATTCTGTGACATTGTAGGACAGGCCCCACTGAGCTCCACTGACGGCCATGCTATCAGGGGTGCCGGATGGGGCCACCCAGAGGGGCAAGGGGGAGCCTCAGGGCTGCTGGGATGTCCTGGTGGTGATGGTGGCTGCTCAGCTGTTTGTCCTCAACTTCCTTCACCCTGTCACCCAAAGGCCCCTGTTCCCTCTCCCTCCCTCACTCCTGTTCCCCTCCGTGGGCCCCATTACCCCCCAGACCCCAGCACCTCCCCCCGGGAGTCTCCATCTTCTGACTCCGAGGACGACTCCTGGACGCTGGAGGAGGGGCGAGAGCGGCCATGACGGGGAGAGGCAGACGGTGTCTTGGACTCCTCGTCACTGTCACCTCCAGGCACCTGCAGCTTGGCTGGGGGCACAGGGCATGTGACACTGGGAAGGGCCAGTGCCCTGTGCCCCTCCCCATGGTTCTGGCCTGGTGGACCCTGGCCCTGGGTCACCACCTCCATCACCCCCCACCTAGGACACTGATCCATGCCAGCCCCTCACCCTGGGTGATCTTGGCCGACACCATCTCCGTGATCTGTGAGGTCAGCTTCTGCAGGAACTCCTCCGTGCCCACCTCAGCCAGGGTCAGGTGGCCATGGGCCTCGGCTGCCAGCGGCTCTCCTGGTGGTCAGACCCTCGCTGAGCCAGTGTGCATCCCAGACAGGCCCACGCACCCCCTCCAGGCCCATCCTGACTCAGGGCTCAGGGAGACGGGTACACACAGGCTCAGGCCTATGCTGCCAGAAGCAGGGACACTGACAAGGATATGGGGCCTCAATGGCTCACAGGTGTCTGGGCCAAGGTGTGACGGAGGAAGCTACAAATGCAGGGAATCGGGCCCAGGAGAGGGGCGGGGGGCGGTCAGGAGAACGGGCAGCCAGCATGGCTGCAGGGCACTGGGCAAGGGCAGCTGAGAGACAAGCTGGATAAAGGCCAGGATGGGGGAGGAGCTTGAAGACACTGGAGCCCCAGTGGGTTGTGCTTTCTCCATTGGGATTCCAACTTGGCAGTTGACCTGGAGAGGGGTTTAGGAGGGGCGGAGGGCACTGGGAACTCAGCCAGGCTGTGGGAGAGGGGGGCGGGGCCTGGACACTGAAGGCAGGGGGCAGGACCCAGATTGCTGGCCTGAGGGCTGGGGAGCAAACTTTGGTGGCTGGGGTTAAGGGTGAATGAGGGCCACTGGGGGTGGGGGGCAGGTAAAGGCAGTAGCTGTGGATCATCCAACAAGTGACCCTAAGGTGGGCAATGGGCACACGGCTCTGTCCTCTCTTTTGTGCAGACTTGGTATTTTCCATAAAGAAGATAAAAACTTGCCGAGTTCCAGAATGCCCTGAGCAGTTGCCTGGGAAGGGGCTGAACATACGGGGCCCTCACCCGAGCTCTGACTCTGCAGCCCCCGGCACCCAGGCATCCACACAGCCTCTGGCTGAGAGAGCTGGGCCAGGGGCTGGCAGGGCCCAGAGCTCAGAATCGGGCCCATACTTGGGGTCAGGCAGCCTCTGCCACACCCTCTCCCAAATTAGGAACCGGCCATTAGCACCACCCACCCGTACCTTTCTGCCCAGCAAGGCTGCTGAAATCCACAGGCATCTGTTCCGAGATGGCTTTGGTCCTGGGGGAGAGGGGGGGCGGGAATCCTGAGGGCCTGGGTGGGCCCACCACACGTACCCTTGGGTGGGAGCTCTGACAGAAAGAGCCTGAGGGCAGTGGGCCAGATGCCAGTCAGGCTCAGGGGAGCCCTCATTTCACAATGGGGAAACTGAGGCACAGCAAGCTGGGTTTTTTTGTTGTTTTTTTTGTTTGTTTTTGGCAGAGGTAGGGGGTGGGGAGGTGGACTCTGTCCACACAGCTTGCAAGGGACAGAGTCAGGCTGTGTCCAGGATAGGACTCCCTCCCTGGCAGCAGTGCTGCCCCCTCCCAGGGCTTCTAGAACCCCAAGCCACTCCCATCAGCTCTGGCGGAGCCCTCACTCACCCCTGAAGAAAGGTGGAGATGAGGGCCTCCTTCACCTCTCCCACTGGTCCCACCTCCTTGGGCACTGTCAGAAGCACAGGTGATGCCAGAATGACCCCAACCGCTGAGATGATTCTGGTGGGGACCTCTGCCTGGCATGTCTGGGCCACCCCTACCTAGGGCTTTGGCCTGTTGGCCCAGAGCCCCCAGGAAAGGCTGTGCCCGGAATCCCAACGTAGCCCCTCCCCCGTCCTCCCAGTGGTGGGGACAGGAATGGGTCCATGCTTGATGGGCCTGCCCACAGAGGGGCTGAGGGGCCAGGAACGGACTGCTTGGGGTGGCAGGGGCTGCTGCAGGTCTTGGCCTGCTGGTCTGAGCCCACAGGCAGGATGGGAGCTGGCCCCTGGGGCCTGTGCTCTGGGAGGGTCTGGGCAGGGTCTCAGAGAGGGGGTGAAAGTCCTCAGAGAGGGTGGCTCCCTCCCATCCCCAACAGGCCGCCCACGCCCACTCACAGCCAGAGACATGCAGGCTGGCGGAGCAGAGGGCCTGGCCGGCAGCGTTGGACGCGATGCAGGTGTAGGTGCCCTGGTGCTGTGCGCCCACGTCCAGCAGGACCAGGCTGTGCTGCTGGGCTGAGCTGGCCACTGTGTAGCCCGGGGTGTCCTGGCCGATCCACAGCACCTGCTCGGCCTCCTCCCGCAGCCAGTGCACCGTGGGGGCGGGGAGACCTGGGCAGGAGTGGATGATGGACTGTCAGCCCCCACTGAGACGAGACTCTAGAAGGGGGTGCCTCTGACCCTGTCAGGGAATTCTGAGGGAGGGAGGGCAGGATGCCCTACCTTTGACCTTCACGGAGAAGGTAATGCTGGAGCCCTTCTTCACCTTCTTAGAGGTGAACTTCTCCAGGAAGCGGGGTGGCACCAGCTGCTGCTGCACGTCTGGGGGGACACCGGAGGCTGCTGGTGACAAGCGCAGGGCCACAGCCCTAGGATGGGTAGCCTCTGCCCCTCCTCCCAGGCCAAGTCCCCACCCACCCGAGTCGCTGTCCCTAGAGCCTGTGACCAGGGATCCTTCCTATCCGCCACCGAGGGGCATCCCCCCTCACTGAGCCTCCTGCCCTCCCGCCATCTGGACTGGGCTCACCTGCTGTCACCGGCTTCTTTTCTGGGTCATTAGGGCCTGAAAGAGGAGGGAAGTCAGACCTGAAGTAGGACAGTGTGTCCTGCCTGGGCCCGGGGGCCTGCTCCAAGGGTGCAGGACACCCTCCCACTCCCACACCCAGCACCTGTTGGCATGCAGGCAGGCAGGTGTCTGCCCTCCACCGCACCTCTGCCCCTGGGGGGAGGCCGTGGGCCCAATCCCAGGCCTGTCATGGGGGGCCTATAGGCGGACGTCGGCCCCCAGCTCCCACCTTGGACCAGCAGCTGGGCAGAGGAGTAGGCGGCGCCCACGGAGTTGCTGATGTAGGCGGAGTACTGGCCGGCATCCTCGCTGGTGACCGAGAGGATCTCCAGGCTGTGCAGTGTCTTCTTGTTCACCATGCGGATGTGCGCAGAAGCCGTCAGGGGCTGCCCATCTTTGAACCAGTACAGGCGGGGCGCCGGGTAGCCTGACACCACAGGGAGAGTGGTCAGCACGGGGCCACTGCCCAGGGGGTGCTGTGTCCTCCACCTGAGGAGATCCCTGGAGGCCCCCCAGGCCACAGTGACCACCTAACGTCTACCAGTGGGAGGCCCCACCCAGCCCTCCGGCCCTATCTCCCTCACCTTTCACCTTGAGCTGGAACTTGGCCAGGCGTATGCCGGGGGCCACCTGGAGGTCTTTCAGCTCCTCCACCACCTGGGGCAATTGTCCCTCTTCCGACGTAGACTCTGCACCCTCCTGCTCGCGACTGGCAGGGAACAGAGAAAGGCAGCGTGATGTGGACGGGTGAGGGGTCCAGGGCAAGGGGAGTGGGATCAGTCTGGATGGCTCCTGAGGTTCTCTATCAACATGCTGGACAGAGACCACGTGGCTTGGTGAAGCTTCCAGGACTGGGATTCTGTCAGGCCAAGCCAGCACGGCCACCTCCCTGCCAGCCTGCTGGGCACTGCCACCCCTGTATGGCCCCACCTGGACTGGTAGCCTTGGGCGCTGAAGTAGGACGAGGTCTCAGTGGCATCCGCAGCAGTGTCATAGTCAGTGCTGGTCACTGGGAATAAAGGGTGAAGCTGGAGCAGGCTGCGTTTCCCCTGTCCGGACACCCCCCCCCCACACACACACACACAAGAGACACCTGGTTCTCCCTGCACAGCTGTTCCTGGAGCCACTTACCCTCCTGAGTCAGAAGTCAGGGACACAGTCGCCCTGTGGTCCCTCCCTGCCCCCAGGCTGTTACCAGCCCAAGTTCTAGGCCTGTAACTAACTACAAGACCCAACAAATTATAGACATGGCTGACCCTGAGCTTCAATAATGGCAGGCAGGGTAAGTGGCAACATCTTCCAATTCCATCCCACTAAGGGGCAGGGATTGGTTATCTGGGCCTCAGATGGGGGCTTCCACTTGTAGCCATGATGGTGTAACACAGACTGGATCTGCCCTCTGCCATAGACAGGATGTTTGTATGCCCCCAAAATTCATATACTGAAATCTAACCTCCAAGGTGATAGCATTCGGATGTGGGGCCTTTGGGGGATGACAAGGTCATGAGGGTGGGGCCATTAGAAATGGGGTTAGTGCCCTTATAAAAGGGACCCCACAACACCCCTTCCACTATGTGAGGACACAGCCAGGAGGGCCATCTCTGAAGCCAACTGTGCTGGCACCTGCCCTTGGACTTTCAGCCTCCAAAACGCAAAAATACATTTCTGTTGTTCATAAGCCACCCTGTCTTCGGTACTTTGTTAGAGCAGCATGAACTAAGACACCGTCGGTTGAAACAAAATACATGAAACAATGGTTGTAATGTTATGATTTATAGTAAGTAATATATATTTTGTTTTGTACCATTCCTGGCACAGAGCTCTTAAAACCCTTGGAGTTTTCTTCAAACTCCTAACAAGCCCCTGTCAAGCACAGCTGAGTTTATGTTAATAATGTTACTTTTGGATAGCCCCTAAGACGGGGCTGGTTGCCAGGACAAGCAACCATGTGATTAGAAGGTTGGAAGTTTCAGTCCCTCGAGGGAAGGCAGAGGGGCTGGAGGTTGAATCAGTCGTGCCTGTGTGATGGAGTCTCCAGGAACACCCAAAAGGATGGAGTTTGGAGAGCTTCCCAGTTGGTGGAGCTGCAGGGAGAATGCTGGGCTCAGAGAGCATGCAAGCCCTCCCCCTCCCCCATCCGGGTCCTGTGCATCTCTTCCACCTGGTAGTTCCTGCGTTATAAATTTTACATTAAGACAGTGACCTCGTAAGTAAATGTTTCTCTGAGTTCTGTGAGCCACTCGAGCAAATTAATGGAATCCGAGGAGATGGCTGTGAGAACTCTGATACACAGACACACAGGTGACAACTTGGACTTACCATTGGCATCTGAACCCTTCCACTCTAGTGGTCCTGAGCCTTTAATCTGTGGGGTCTGACACTATCTTCAAGTAGATAATGTCAAACTAAGTTAAACTGCAGTACACCCAGCTGGTGTGAGAGCATTGTTTGGAATTGGGTACTGAATCATCAGAATGGTTTCAGCAAGGACACTGATCCCTTACAGGCAGGAAACAATGGTGAGCCTCATGATTCCCCAGCATCTTGCTTTCAGGCCCAGAAGAGGAAGCTGAGGCAGAGCCAGGCAGGCTCTGAGTTGAGGAGACAGATGCAGCTGGAGTCACAGGCCAGAAAACAGAGAAGAGGGATCCCTCCCTCGGGGATTAAGCAGATGACTGATCAGCACGTGCATGTGAGGGAAGAGCCATCTGAGATGCTGGAGGAAACAATGCTGGAAGGGCACAAGGTCTGGGGTGCTCCTATTTCCACAGCCAGACTGGACACCCACCCCGCAGGCGTCTGGACGGTGCCCAGGAGCGTTCTCTCCCATAGGAAGAGAATTAGCCCCATGTGAGCCCTGCCTTGGCCTCATCTAACAAACCACACACCAAACAACCAACGTGCTTCCAAAGAAGCCATGTTTTCCACAACAGAGCTCCAGGAGGCCTGGAGGAATGCACAACATCCAGCTCCCCGCAGGGCGAGACTCGGTCTCAGGCACCCAGTCAGAAGGCTACAGACATGCAAGGAGGCTGGAACACAGGACCCTTGATGTGCAGCATGTTCAGTCAGAACTGACATGACATGAGAACTGCCAGAGAAGGACATGCAGGTATGAGAACTGTATTCTCTGTGTTCGAAAAGTCAAGTAGAGAGGGCATATAAAGAAGAGTCAGGTAGAATTTCTGGAGACAAAAAATACAGTAGATGACACTTACAGCAGATTAGATACTAAGAGCAGTGACTGCATAGGCTTAGCAATAGAAAAATACAACTGAAATGCACAGAGAAAAAATAGCTTTAAAAACTTAAGAGCATCGCCGAAACCGGTTTGGCTCAGTGGTAGAGCGTCTGTCTGCGGTTCGATTCTGGTCAAGAGCATATACCTTGGTTGCGGGCACATCCCCAGCAGGGGGTGTGCAAGAGGCAGCTGGTCAATGTTTCTCTCTCATCGACGTTTCTAGCTCTCTATCTCTCTTCCTTCCTCTCTGTAAAAAATCAATAAAATATATTAAAAAACAAACAAACAAAGAAAACCACTTAAGAGTATCAATCAACTGAAGTCACCAAATTAGGAGAAGGAATAAATATTTGAAGAAATAATGGCAAAAAATCCAAACTTATTGAAAATTATAACCCAAAATTCCAAGAAGCTTAGCTACAAGCATAAGGGGAACAGAAAGAACAGTGCACCAGCCCTGGCTGGTGAAGTTCAGTGGTTGAGCAACACCCCATGAACTGAGAGGTCACCAGTTTTAATTCCTGGTCAGGGCACATGCCCTGTAGGGGGCATTCAGGAGGCAGCTGATCAATGATTTTATCTCCCTCTCCCTTCCTCCATCACCACCACCACTATCATCATCTTCTTCTTCTTCTTCTTCTTCTTCTTCTTCTTCTTCTTCTTCTTCTTCTTCTCTCTTTCTCTCAAATCAATTTTTAAAAATTAAAAAGGAAAAGTGCACCAAAGAATATGTGAGAATAAACAAGTAATCTTTTCTGTCAAAGAAGGGAGTTTAGACAGCCACCATGTTGGCCCTTGGGGGCCCCCATTTTGAAATGACAAAGATCAGCTCCTTCCTTTAAATTATCCAATAGAGCAAGACTGTGAGCCTAAGCTCTGACCAATCAAGAGTGAGGGACATATCACATGCATTAGGCATAAAACCCTCAGTGGATCACCTGCTCAGTGTGCATGTGCTGCCAGACTGTGTGTCTGTGCATCCTCCTGCAGGAGTAATGATATTTGCCTTACTATCCTGGCTCCTGAGTATACTTTGTGTTCTGCCAGGACCCCTGGCTTTGGGGGTTCCCCTTATTTGTAACAATTTGGGGGCTCTTCCAGGATTCTAATTGTCACATGGGGCCAATTGGACCCCTCTCCTGAGGAGGGAGGTGTGGCCTGTTGCTAAGTTGTGGCTGCCTCGGTGAAGAGGGACAGCCATTACTCCCTGGGGCCAATTACAAGCTTGGGATAGAGAGTCAGCCAGCAACACAGGAAGGGCCCAAGCAAGCGTGAACCATGGCAATCAGGTAACCCCATGCATGAGCCAAGGTGGAGAATTGGACTGAGTACTACTCTGCTGGTTGGGTGCCCTCAGAGGTCGGGTATATGTGACTGGGATGTGTCTTGGACATGAAGCTAGTGCAGAGTTGTGATCTCCTGTGAGGGAAGTGGCCAGAGAGGTTTGAAGCGGAAACTGGGGAGTGTGAGAAATTTCCAGTATGGGAGGTTGAGCACATAGTCACAAGGGACTTTCTGAAGATGGGAAGACAAAAATTCTAGGTCTAGGGAATACATTCTCCCAGATAGTCCATTAGGGAGAATGCTGAGGTTTAGGGGAAGGACAGTCTCCGAACCAGGGACAGGAGACATTGTTCTGCTTTGGTGGTTTTTTAATCAGGGTATTCTGTGGTGTCTGTAGCCAGACAGACAAGGAGGATGGTATGAAGCTTTATCTGTGGCTTGTGAGCACCTGTACAATGTTTCTGGTGATGTTTTGTGTCTCTTTGTTGTTTGGTTTAATTTGTTTTAAGATGGGGCACGTCTGGCTTTGGGGGAGCCCAGCTATTCGTGGCAAGGCTGAACATGTGGCAGAGATTGCAGGTATGCCCCAGCAGCTCCCGAGAATTCTTAATCTTGGGGATTTTTTCTGCTTTCCTTCTCAGGGTGTCAGCTGCCAGCAATTCTTAGCTAGTGAAATTTTTTGTCTGTGTGTCTGTAATGGTTACTGATTTCTATCTTTTGGGGGCTGTTTGCTCTCCTCTGGTTTAGGGACAGAGGGACAAAGATTACATGGGGAAGTAGGAATTACAAGCATGGGGAAGTAAGCAATGTGGGCTGGGGTGAGACTCCATTGTTTGGGCATTAAGATTAATGTTTCCATAATAATGGGCAGTTCATGAAATAGGGACCACATTCCAAGGTTGACTCCCAGGTCCAAGATTGATTCCCAGGTCCAAGGTTTACTCTCAGGTCCCGGGGGCATGTAACTTAAAATTTTGAATTTTCTGGGTTAAATGGTAAAAATTGTTAAACATTTAGGTATTTTGAAATAACAGGACACTAAAATACTAATCTGAGTATGCCTTGTATGGAGAATCTAGAGGATAGATTTGAATGAATAAGTCTTGTATTTTATTTAAAATATATCTTAAAAATGTGAATATATTGCAAATCTGAGGGATATTAATTACTTACACGTCACCTAAAAACTAAGGTTTCTAAGCATTTAAGAATTCCCCCCAAAAGAATTCCAACTGGAAAGAAATTATGGTTTTGGTGTAATTTTGAAGGAAAAAGAAGGTGGATTCTGAAAGTTTGTAAGGTTTGTAAGGAAAGGATGTTATATAAATGGCACAGGCCAGTAAGCCAAGACAAGTGGAATAGGGAAACAGAGATGATTAAGTGCAATTTGGAACTATCTACCGTAGTAAATCCATCTTCCCTAAACCAAGGACACTTAAGAGTAAATGATTTGGATTTTGCCTCTCCAGCCAGAGGGCAAATAG